CCACGTCTTTTGACCTTGATGGAGGAGCAGGTGGGCTCTGCTGCTCCGTAACAAGGCGGGCCGCCTCCGAGGGATTGGAACGACGGCCTCGCTCTCCATCTTGAGAAGAGCCACAGGCACGAGCCTGCCGGTCAGCCAGAGGTCGTGCCTGAATCGACTGGGGAGTCTGTGTGCTCCCAGCGTTACCTGGGGCACCCTGCTTCCCCGCAAGTTGTTTCGGGGCCTGAGAGGGGCCTGCCAAGTCCTCAAGAGAGAACTGAGTGGCCCTGGACTCCGTACGTGGTGCAGGGCCCCTGCGCACCGCGTCGGAGTAGGTACCTTTGGAAATGAAGGAAAACCTTTGTTTGGCCTCAGGGTACGATAAGTTCTCTTTGGCTCGTAAGCTAAGAATTTCCTTTTCTTGACGCCACAGCGGGCAGGACCGAGAGTAAGCAGGGTGAGGACCCTTGCAGTTCGCGCAGGCAACTGGATCTTCACAGACGTCAGCCACATGGTCGTAGCTCCCACACTTTGCACACGTCTCCCTCCCCCGACAGCTGCACGACCCGTGACCAAAACGCTGGCAACGGAAGCATCGCTGTGGGTTCGGGACGTACGGTCTGACACGGCAATTCAGGTAGCCAGCTTTGACGAGTGCAGGAAGCGTGTGACGTTCAAAAGTCAGGATAAGGTGTTTAGTTTTCACCTCTGCGCCGTCACGCCTCGTCATAATGCGTTTGACCGCGACTACTCTAGATGCCCGCAGGCCTTCCAAGATCTCGTCTTCACTGCTGGTAACAAGATAGTCTTCTGAAATCACCCCTCGAATAGTGTTGAGGGTTCTGTGGGTGCTTACTGTTACCGGCACGTCACCTAGGGATATCAATTTTAGAAGAGTAGTGCTCTGGGATTTTTTTGCAACTTCAACGAGCAGATCACCAGAATGCAGTTTCTTCGCTTTGTAATCACCACCTATCTGACTGTCAAGAACTTTCGCTACAAGGAAAGGTGACATCTTTGAGAGAGGATTGTTAGGGACCTCGGAGTGGATCACCATAAATCTTGAAAAAGTTTCGTCTTCTTTATCTTTCACTATGACCGTTCGTTCAGGACGATGCCTCTTAGCGGCACGTCCAGAACTGGGGGTTTGGTTTGGGGGGTTGCCATAAGAGGCGAAGTTTGTTCGGAACCTGTGGTGTGCCGCCCACCACGGAGCCCAACATGGGAATAGATAACGCACCATAACAAAAAGGGCTTTGCTGGAGACGTTATGCTATTAGCACTGCCCAGGAACTATAACCAGGTGTGGGTCTGGACAAGGGGTCTGTCGCCACCCAAGGTTAGCCCTTGCCGCCAAAGGAGTTGAAGAAGGAAAGAAGAGAAATGAGAAGAGTGAAAAGAAGGAGAAGACAAGGGTGAAAGAAGGGAGGGGATAGTAGAAGATGTGGCGACTAGACTGAATCATCCTGGCCGGGCCTTACCAGGACTCCCGTCTATGAGAAGCGGGGGCCGAAGTGGTGTATTGCCTCGCCCGGGAGGCCCCCCCAAGGGTCCAACCCTGCCCCGGGCTCGGCTCAACCATCAGGATGCCCTTTTCCCCAGACACGGGAAAGCCACGCACTGTCAGATGTGGGCGGGCGAACCCGCATGGCTCGGGGTCCGTGGAGACGCCACTCTCCAAACACCTGCTTTCACAGGTGCCCCCTGCGGGGGGTCTTGAAGTCTCCCAGCTTGCGGTCGAGCTTGTAACCGAGTACCGTGAGCACCCTGCCGATCGAAGACATGGTGTGTGCCACTGGTCTGGCTGGCTCCGAGGATGCTGCAGAACGCTTTCCTAAACTCCATCCTTCACATCAGCAGGCTCTTCAGACAACCTGAACAGCTGCGGGCGCACACACTCCATCACCGCCGCTCGTTTCTTCCAGACGCAATTGAGGCCTTTTTTAACACCCAGGGATGTACGCTTCCCCAGTCCAGGAGGCCACAAGCAGACAACGACGATAAGCTGAACGAAGGCAGCAGCCACGTGAAGAATGGTAGCCCCTTGCCTATTTTATCGTTCGCCGCACGCCGCGCCGAAATCGCGGACTTGAGGAGAGCAGCCGGCAACGCTGCCGCAGCCCCCTCCAACATGCCTGCCCTGGGACGGAGGGATGGGGGTGACGCATCTTCTGCGCATCTGCTGACCCCACCGCCTGGACAAGTTCTTCCCCCACCCAGCCTGTCTGGAGGGCCGCCTGTTGGAAATCTCTCCAAATGGGGATTGGTGGGATCGTCGTCGAGTGGGCCTCCAGCATCTCTAAGGTCTGTGTGCGATCACCACGTCAATCTGATTGCCTCCCAAGATGGTGCATGTGATGGGCGAGCGGCACGTCCGGAGCTGATGCTGCTGCGCCTAAAAGCTCGAACCACTGCATTGACTGGGGCATCTGAGATTACCAAGCTGTGCGTCCCTTCGCCATCAACGAGTAAGGCAGCGCTGTTCGTTACGAAGCCGGCACCGGATACCACCTGCAGGGACGTCTCTTCTCAACTGTCCTCCGTCGGAGTCAACAAAGTAAAGCGCCGGCATCTAAAGACCCATTTCAACACATAAGCCTCCTTTTATGTAGCCGTGGCTGCTGAGAATTTTGAGAAACTGGCTGATCCAGCTGAGTGGCCAAAATCCTGCCTCTTTAAACCTCTCAGAGGAACCCTTCGGAGAGACTTGCTCCACGCTTCAGAGGGACCTCTGTTGCAAAAGGACCCAGGAGACGACCTTGCCCTTCCAAACCGACCGGCACGGGTGAACGCCCTGGAGCATTGTTGCCAGGTGGCTACGATCAGCTGCGCCCAGAGACAGAGCAAGAGGCGCCTTGGAGTCGCCAACGCACCTTGGTACACGAGGACGACGTGACCTTCTCTGAAGGATCATCGGGTTCACCCACACCAGTATCATCTGGTCAACTTTGCCGTCCGGCCCCTCTCCACAATTACGCAGTATTACACATGCAAAGTAGGAAAGTCTTGCTTAGACAGCATCCCCTTTTCAATAAACGGCATTTCTCTAAACCGTGATTCAATGAAACGCGCCCGTTCTCTAAAACATGCTTCGGGCCGATCCATAAGGGGTTCGCGAAACACCAAGGTAGTGTCTATTCTACCGGCAGCCGGCAGAATAATTTCCCGATTCTCAGATTTCAAAGATTACCTTTTCTCGGCGTGCACGGGTGGGCCCAGGTGGGTTAACATTTTTGCAATGAGCCGCCACAGACTGCCGTTGCGAAGCGGCGTAAGCGCAGTGCAGGGGTGGGAAGGGGTTAACACGCACCCTCGTTACGTCACTGTTAGAACGTCATTCGGTGTCTATGAAACGTCGACGACTTAACACTCCTTCTGCCTATCAGGGCCATAAACTCTTACAAACGGCTACAAGAGGACCTTTACAAGATTCAAGAATGGTTTGTGTTAAACAGGCTACCCCTCAATGCAGAAAAGTGCTCTGCAATGCTACTCACCACCACCCGACAGCCTCCGCCTCCTCCTGATTTGACTATCAGGAACAGCCCTATCACAAGGACGCAGCGAACAAATCTTTTGGGAGTTACACTTGATCCGCACCTTCATTTTAACCCCCCACATTGCGGAAGTGCTCTCGAAATCGCGACGCACGCTGGGCTTCGTACAACGAGTGTCAAGGGGGGCCGGCCCAAAGGCGCTGCGGAGTTTATACACTGCACTAGTGCTCCCTAAACTTGAGTACTGCTCGTCAGTATGGAGCCCTTTCAGGTCGCCGCAATTGCCTCACTAAAGAACATACTGCTGCGCGCAGCCTATACGCTATACTGCGTCGCCAATCACCGCCGCAGCTGAAACGATACAGACATTGGCACCCCTGAACTTCTTGGAGGTGTGGGGTGGAACTGCCTGTCTGTCCGTAGGCAGGTGGCTTCGCTTCGCCTCCTAGCCTGCACGCTGGGTGGCCCTTCTACATTCCTTCTAAAGTATGTAAGGAAGAGCTGCGCTGGTAAGCTACAACCCCTCCTTGGACGGACGGAGCATCACGGAAGCACGCTCCTTCCGAGAGCTATCGAGCTCTGGCGCTCCCTCCCGAGTGACGTTACACAAGGTACATTGGAAAACAAAGAGGGCATAAAAGAACTATGCAAGTGTGCAACCCTCCATCTCAAAGAACTGTGATGTGACACTCGTTCAGACCCAAATCCCAGTGTACAGAAGGGTTTGTTTTTGGTATGTATGTGTGTGTGGTAGCGGGTACAGTGAGCCTCTACGGCATGGGCAATAGCCTTTTTACTGTAACCCGGGTTTTAGAAACCGAATAAAACATTATTACCGATGGTTGAGAACCACTGCCCTGAACAATGCTTGTACAACCTGATGCTTGAGCGGCACGAGCTCGCTCTTGCAGCTTGTGCTGCGCTGCCACTTCCCCCTTCGGACGTGCCTTTCAAGTTTCAACTTACTTGCAGAGGTTCGCTTGGGTTTGGAGCAGGGTAGAAACGACGGCATCGGAAGCACGAGTTTTGAACACGGCGCCGTCGCAAAACTCGTATCAAGTCGCGTCGCCCAGTGAAGTAGCAGGCAAACTGAAGTTCACCGACTTGAACAGTAGACTTGCAAGTGTAAAGGGCAAGTCCTAGTGTGGCGTCCTTATTCCCGAACGTTCCAAGTTAGGGAATGTTCCAAGCAGGTTCCGTACTGTGTTCAGCCCCCTTGAATGACAAGACAAACGAGCGCGAAAAAGAGCGTGACCACGGATGAACCATGGCATGAAGACCAATGAGTTGTGAAGGAGGAATGGGCGGTAGCCAGAGGCGGTAGCTACCGCTACCTAGCCATCATCTAGGGTGCCTTCATGCTATCTAGCTCAGCAATCGAAAACAAGCGAAAAAAATTTGTGCCAAAAGAATTTGTAATAGGGCTATCCGCAAGACATGGTAACTTTATGGTCTCTGGAGTGTGTACCGCTTGGAGCCACGATTAACCCAGGTCTGCCCAGATCAAGCCCAGATCCAAGACCAGTCTGGCAACGCCCTTCCATTTCCTCCTCCCCTTTTCAAGATGGCAGCGTAGATCGCCTATCTTTTGGTTACTTTTGGCGTTGATTCGGTGTTCGGGTGGTTGCGCGAAACTGGGTAAACAAAGTTCAAAAGCGCGTTTGCCAAGCCGGCTGTCGCCTCCGAGACGATGGAGAAGGCCAAGGGCGCCGACCCGACGTCACCGAACCACAAGGGCCAGGCGCTGAAGCCGGCCAACAACGGGTCGCTGGAGGGGCTCGAGTCCAAGTCGAGCTCACTCAACTCCAAGCTGGGGCCGCGTTCCGTGGGCAGCCACAGTTCTCACTCGCCGTCGCTGTGCTCATCGTCGTCCACGTCTACCGAGAACATGCAGCTCGCTCAGGAGCTCAAGGTGAGCGCGCCGACGCCCCGGGACGTCTCCAGCTGTCTCTCTCCTTGGTTAATCACAATGTAACACCTAAAACTGCATACATTTTTTTTTCTCTCTCTCTTTCGTTGGTTTGCTTGTTTTGTCAGCGGAGTTCTGGTGTTGCCGGTGGCACCTGTGACGGCATGAGTGTGCGATATTGTTGGAAACTGGAAACTGCGGGCACTATAGTTCACACAGAAAGAATAAAACACTGAAATTGACGAAGGACAGACACTCACAGTTCTTGCTGACGGGATGGCAGGGAGGAGGACTGGCCAGCGTGAAATTGACGATGGACAGGCACTCATAGTCATTTCTGACAGGATGGCATGGAGGAGGACGTAACCAGTGACATCAATGCCAAGTTTCACTTGTCCCGCCTTCACCTTCCTAGCGTCCATAACACTTGGGCATCTCCTGAGGCTTGAGCGCGAATGTGTAGCCAAGGCACCTATGAAGGCAAAGAGAGCGTGCTGGAGGCCGGGCCCCAAAAAGACGTGACGCCGTTTCTCACACTGTCGGTGGAGCGCAGTCGCTTGCCTGCCTTACCCGCTGTCCTGTGTTTCCTGCGTCGTCTGCTATGGCCTATTCGGTACAGGATGTTCCCAGCAACCCTTTGGGCGCTGCCGAGGGTGCTGCACGTTTGGTCAAAAGTCTAATGCAGCAATTGCCCTGCCAAGACGCCGAGGATGATTGCGTTCCTCTAATGTCGATTGGAAGAGCGTGGAAGCCATGCCAGAGTCCTACTCTATCTCGTGCTTACGGAGAATTCTCTCTGTGTATTTGGAGCCGTCTTGGAGTGCTTTTTTTTGTTGGTATCTTCTAGGGCTTACAAGTGCGCGCTCGCATTGACCACACGTAACCCTTTGACGATCGAGTTCTTATTCCCAAAGGACATTTCCCAGTGTTTTTTTCTTAATTATCTAGCAGGAGTGTGTACTGGTGCTTGCAGGCTGGTTAAATTTAGGAGCATCAAACGAAAATATTGAAGGTGAAAAGTTGTCACGTATCTTCCGTTTATCTCATTTTGGCACGGCCACTTTCGCAACATTCATGCGGCTTCAGATTTCTAACTGAAGATACTTTACAGAGCTTGTCTGTCAGATGATCAGTTCTCATCTTCTGAATTTAACTCTGAAAAGCATTGGAAATCTGAATTGGAAGAGCTAGTGCTCCAATGGGCACTACCACCAGAGTGGCTGGTATGCGAAGTGATCATTATGTGCATGGAGCGTCTAATTTGAAAACTAGAAATAGCCCAGCGAAGTAACACACCGTGTGAATATGAAGTTTATAGCTTGCCAAAAACATAAGAAATAGCGACACCTCCCGCAATGCGCGTAGGTTCGCATTTAGGCGGTCACTTTCAAGCGTGTAATCACCACTATACATGTACGGCGAAGACGGTTAAAGGGATAATGTGCTCTTAGGTCGCTTCAAATCCATTGAGGGAATTCCACATTAGACACAGCCATTACTCTGTTCGAACATGTTCACACGTGTTTGTCTTCCTTTCTCTCTATGATACATGTCGTCAGAGCTTGACGAATACAGAAAAAGTTCCTGGAAAACTTTTGGATGTCAATTGCATTTTCTGTAAAATTTTTACGGTTTTATTTATTTATATTGCTCACCTTCATCGAGAGTGGTACTGATTCGTAACACATAAAAAGAGATGTCTTTCCCCCACTTTGAAATAACAAATCAAAGGTTACAGTAGCATGCTGCTATGCAGTTTATTCAATAATAACAGCATTGGTGTTGCCAATGCTGTGCATTGGCAACACCAATGCACAGCATACTCATACCTTATGTAGCTAATTTACCTAGCTACAAACTGCACAACTTCCATGGTCTCCCCAGTGCAGTGCCCTACAAGTAAAAGGGTTGCAACGTGCCGGCCTGCAAACTGCCAGTTGAGGGTCCCTGCCGAGTCCCCCCAACCGTACAGGGAGCTTATTGCAGGAAAGGGAGCTGGGAACTTGGTTCCCAACTAGAGGTTCCGAATCAAAGGACCCCGGGTGACCCCCAAAAAATCTGTCCTGCACAGGGGCCTGCTAGTGCACTGAATTCGCTGGCAGGCTCGAGAAACCCCGGTATCTGGCTTCAATTGACCAACAAGGATTGCATCCATGTGTCGAAGGTTGGCCCGAAATTCAAGAGGGATGAGTCAAAAGGAAGACGTTGACCGGCTAGCTGTGGCGTTGTGACCCAAGGAGCTTTAGAAAAATTGCTAGACTCGTGTTTTCACCAACCATTGTGTGTTGCCCACCGTGCCGCAGATATGACGGCGCTCGAAAGAGAGAACCGGTCACCTCATTCGTATTCCGGTCTACAGTTTTTCAGAAGTTAATAGTGGGCCATAGGGAAGCACGGTTGCAAGTGCACTCCTGGTAAGAGTTGCTGTCGAGCTCGATTCGACTCTAATGCTGTGTTTTACCCAAATACACTTTCGCTTCCCTAATTGTTACTGGGAGTGCATTCATCATGCTCTCCCTGTTAACAATGCAATTATTCATCCACTGTTAACTGGGAGTGCATTCATTATGCAACCAGATAACTTCTTTGTTTTGGTTACTCGTTTAAACTTTTTTTTTTACATTATAAATGCATCCCCAACCTGTCTAGTAAATTTGTATATTTGGGTAGGTCATTTCCTTCTTGCGCGGTGCAACAAGGGCCGAAACGGATGAAATTGACGGAGGGCTATATTCAGTGAAGCCATTTCCCAATGAAAACAACCAAGTTTCTGCATATCATTGCAGAATGCCCACGCGCAACTCGGTCATCAGGTATTCCCAGTTGCTTCATTGAATCTGAGTGTGAAAGGAGCTGCAATCGCGCATCTTTTTTCCAGCCTCCTCTAAAGTCGCTGGATCCGGTGAAAGTAGCGCCAATGTTCCCATGTGGTCACCATTTTGGTCTCTGGAATGAGCAGCTTCTCCTTGACTTCTCTAGCTGCTGTGAGCCATTCCAAAGTCGCAGTGACAGATTGCTTTATAAAGGGATTTATTTACTTATTCATTCATAATACCTTACAGGCTCATGCAGAGCATTAGGTAAGGGGGCCACAAAAAATTTTGAAATTCAATATATAGACAAAAAAAATAGAGGACACAAAGCACAAAACTCAAAAACAAGTTTTTCTAATAAGTCCCACGTGACTACCTGCTAGCAAACCGCAACGCTTGTGTCCTTAGTCACGTGGGACTTGTGAAAATCTTGCGCGCTTTCTTTAAAGCTTGAAAGAATTAGACACGCAAAGCCTACCTTGATGGAAATGACTCAGTGGGATGTTGTTCAACATGCTCCAAAACCCTTGTATGGATGCGTTTGTGCACAAATTAATATTTAAAAAGTTGGATAATTAATCTGCGTTTGGCACATGTAGTGCACGTCAGCTCTTTTGAAGTCTCAGCACAAGTCAGCCAAAACACCCTGTATAGTGCCAATAACGCTTATATTGGTGAGGAATGCTTTCAGTACAATGACGCGCCATTGCAATCTAGGTGCGGCTGCTTCAGAACGACCCTTTTGACGCTTCGAAGATTTGGAATGGCCGAAATGGCGATTGCCGTGGCAATGTTTAACGAATTGCCTCTCGAGGTTTTTGGTTGTCGTTATGTTAGTTTCTGTTCGTGTCCAGCTAGCAGGCAAGGAGGGCAATGGTGCTGTTTTCTCAGGATCCAGTGACCTTAGGCTTCTTGTCACAGAGGTGCACTCTGTGGTGAAATAAAACCGACTGACTGCAGATGCGGGAAGTGTCCAAGGTGCCGAAGTCCCAGGAGCCTCCGCTGCTGCCCGGGGAGCAGCCCCACGTTGTCCAGAAGGGTCAGTCTTTGGATTTGATGGATGGATGGATATTGGCTGTTCCCTTTATACCGGGTGGTAGCTTGCGCCACAAGTTTAAATTAATTCATTAAAAAAAAAACTTTTTTTTTTTTTTTTCTGCAACTATCACCGGGTAGGTAGAGTACTTTCCAGGAAGACCTTTGGGGGATCGGGCAAAAGAAACTCGGCACGCAAACATTGTTTCACAAAAAAGGTTTATATTAATTATTTCGAGAGCTTGACTCAGAGCCGGTGAAATTCAAGAAATAGAGCAAAAACGGTGGCAGTGTATTTCATGTCTTATACCGGCCTGCTCTTCGTCCGCGTGCTGGTTTGCAAGCTCGCTCCCAGGTGGCGTGGGGAATGCGAAAACGCTGAGAACTTCATAAGAGGGGCTGGCAACAAGCAGGATAATAGTGATAAATATTCATTTTTAAAAAAGTAAATGGTTGATGATACAGTTTCAGTTTGCATTTGGAAGTAAGTTAACTTTTCTGTTTGAGAAAAAGTAAATTCGAAAGCAGACAAGTGTTTGTTCAATTTTGTCGTCTGTTATTTGTTCGCTCCTTTTTACATGCCTCCCATTCCGAGCACGAATGTCCAAACAGATAGCAGACAACAAAATGAAACAATCATTCGTCTGCTTCAATTTAGTTTTTATCAAGCGGAAAAGTTTGCTTGTTTCTAAATGCAAACTGAAACTGCATCGTTCATATGTTTCGTTAAAATCATTCATTATTGCAGTCATCCTGCTCATCACCAGCCACTCGTATGACCATGAGATAAAACAGCGCAAAAAGGTACAAAACGAAGTTACAAACCGGACAAGACAGAGCGCTGTCCGGTTTATCTACTACCAACTAGCAACCAAACAACAACTACCAACTACCCAAACTCTCAACATCATTACACTCGCATGACATTTTCGGCATCCCTCTGTTCACCACGCCACCTGGGAGCGAGCTTGCAATCCAGTGTGCAGACAAAGAGCAGGTCGGTATCGGACATGAATGTAGGAAGAGGAGGAGGTGACATACTGGCTCAAGCTAGCCAAACGAGAAAATTCCAAGTGAAGCCTGAAGTGGATGTCGCGGTCGGTGGGAATGCCCCCAAGGCTGTCCTTTCCTTCCAACCGCGTCTTTTGGTTTTGTTCGTTCTTTGTCGTTGGGCAGCCCCAGCCAATTCGGCGCCTATGTATACACGACGCAACTCCTCACCCTGCACGTCACCGTTCCCCTCCCGAAAGTCGCGCCGGCTCCGATTGCTATTAGCATTCGCTGCGCTCCGTCGTAAGGGGAGACGGAATGTGGGTGGTATTGCCTCCACCCTTGCCGTTCCCTTCCTTGATTCTTCAGCTGTCAGAATCTGGGAACGTTGCATGACTCTGTCCAACCCGGTACGGTGTGCTCTCCTCCCCTTGCAGCCAGGGACGTGACCTACCTGTGCCCGTTCCAGGGACCAATCCGTGGCTGCCTCTTCATCACAAACTACAAGCTGTACTTCAGGGGCATTGACAAGGTGGGCAGACTTGCACGAGAAACGTTCGTCTTTGTTGTGTGCGGTGGACAATATAATGAAAGGAGCCTTTTGTGAGTCTCTGCGTCGTTAGAAAAGACAAGTTTACGGAATTCGTTGACGTTTCATTGAAGAATTAGTCGTTTGGACTGCAGGCCGCCGATATTTGGAGTAGCCCGTGGCGGTGTATTCGAAAGAAAGGTGTAGGGATGGGCACCTCTCGTTTACTAGCCGCTACTAACCCTCTGATGACTGCTAACCCCAGAAACTCTGCTCTGCTCTGAAGCAGGTTTATTGAGGAAGAATTTGCTATAGACGGTCATTCACATATTCATTTCATTTGTCTTTCCTCATAAATCCTGATATCATACTTTTTGGATCATGTCAAAATTTGGCTTTAGGAATTCATTCCGTATTCCAAGAGAAGGCAATATCATGATATGCATCATTGTGAGAGGGAGGCAAAAGTAGGTGTTTTGGGAACTACCTGGTACGGCGACGGCGGTGGCCCAACACCGCATCTAAAGCTGGGCAAGTCACATTTTCCAATTGTAACAATTTCCAATAATACCCTTTTTAATATTCAGTGTCATTTGGTGGCTCCAAATGTAGTTTCACTCTTGACAAACTAATGACGGTCATGAACTGAACCAACTAAAACAAGCATTTTTTCCTTTTTCTCTTACTCCCCCACCACCCTTCAAAAGTCAGGTAGCGTCTGGTCTATCAATGGAGATCCGGACCTCTCTTGGCTTCCCCATTTCCCTTCAACCCCAAAATAAACGAACATAAAGCCGTATTTCATTTGGAACCGTTGGTTTTGTACGTCGATGGCAGACGAGAATTGGTACTACTTCGACAAGCTCATAATTCATTCCTGATTTGTTTCAGTTTCGACGGTGTAAGTATAATAACGGACTGGTACAAAGTGGCGACCGGTACAAAGGGCCTTGAGCCGAACTTGTGCCAAGACATTGATTGGACCACGCTCTGAAATAAATGCTGATGCAGCCGTTGCATCTAATTCATACATCGCATTTTTCCGACGTCTCGAACGTACTAGCCTCGTATATCCTTCGCGTGCTAGCATCTTCGACTTCTTTCTTCGTCCACCTCAAGAGGGCCGCCATTCGTTTGGCACAGATGCCGTACACCGAGACAACGATAATGATTAAAGTTACCAGACTGAATTTCGAAAGGGGTCTATTGCACCCACTCTGCACTAAGCAACAGAACAGCGGCACCCGCGAGACTGTCGGGGAACGGAGCATCGGTACATCCGATGCCCATTTAGGGCCGCTCAGTCACTTCCCTCCCCTCCACCGAACAGGAGCCCAAGTTCACGATGGAGGTGCCCCTGGGGGTAGTGAGCCGCATCGAGAAGGTGGGCTACGCCTCGAGCCGGGGCGAGAACTCGTACGGCATCGAGCTGTTCTGCAAGGACCTGCGCAACCTCAAGTTTGCCCACAAGCAGGAGAACCACTCACGCAGGGACATCTTCGACAAGCTTCACAAGTTCGCCTTCCCCCTCTCCAACGGGCTGGTGAGCTGGTCACAAGACTCTGGCCGGCCTTGTGCTGGCCCCTGGCCACGGTGTAACATGTGTACGAGTGGACACCTCCCCTCGCGCTGGTCGCAGTTGTTAGGTAAAATCCCCTCCTCGCCTTGGGTGCAAGCGGCGACCCTGGATGACTCTTTGAGAAGCGGCTAGTAATGGGCTGTTGCAGGCCCGGCGTCCTGCGCCTCTTTATGGGAGACATACTTCTAGGCACTTGCACTACACGCGTTGCTTAGACACGGCTTTATCATTGACCCTAGTGTTGTACCTCAATGGCGACGAGAACTGCTTTACAAACGTGTCGAGGCTGAGGGATTTCTGGTACGGTGCTCGAGAGGTTTCAGAGGGATTTCTGGTACGGTGCTTTGGAGAATATGGTTGCAGTCTCGAGCACGTGAAAGGAGTTGAAGGGAGGGAGCTTAGAGAATTGTAGTGCAGAAAATAGTCACACCTGAACTAATGTCAACTCCTAAAAAACTTATTTCTTCAGTGCCTGGATGGGATGCATATGTCACAAAATGAATTTTGTAAAAAAAAAAAAACAATGCAGTTCAATATTTTTACAGCGAAGCTGTTTATGGCTACGGTTCTATGGATTTTTCTTGCGCGTGACCAAAACCTCTACAATCGCACTGCCACACGTGTACGCCTTCCCTGTATAAAAGACTAAGTAAATAACCAAAATAAAGCGTTAACGAACGCGCGTGCAAGATGCCATTTGTTTTAGGCTTTTGCTTTAGAACAGTTACTGCTGCAGACGCCGGCACGGGCGGCGCGTGGAATACCATTCCTTGCATTCTCCTTGATGCTTGAGTAAAAGGTCTATTCATTAGATTAGTTATCAGTAGGCACCATTTTCAAGATCAGTAGACTCTCGGGTAGATAATAAAGGTTTCTCAAAGATTTGCCGCTGTGCGACCCACGTCGGCCGTATCTATGCTCGCACCACCCTCTCTTTGTCATCGTTCCAAGCGCTTGCGTGCCTAGTTTCCTTTCCTTCCTGTCTTCCGGGATGGTGGTCCCGTCGTGCATGTCCACTTTCCGCCGGGTGGCTGTCCCGTCGCGTGTGTCTAGTTTCCTCCGTCTCCTCGGGGCGAGTCTGTGTCGTCTGCTAAACAGCTTTGCTGGTCATCCAGCTTCACAGAGTGGAATGGCTCATGAGTGTTTTGTTTTCAGTCTCTATTGTTTTTAGATTAGGGCAGGGTAGGGTAGGGTAGGGTAGGGTAGGGTAGGGTAGGGTAGGGTCTCGTGACTCAATTTTGAGTCATGAGACTCGTCTCGTGATGGAAATATTGCACTTTAAAGTTTTGGGTTCGTGACACAACTTTGAGTCTCGAGATTCAGAATTGAGTCTTGTGACATAAATATTGCACTTCACAATTTTCTTTTTTTTTTGGAAGGGGGAGGGGGAGGGGCGGGTATTTTGTGACATACTCATTCTATTCGCCCACTTCAAAAATTTTCTGGAAGTTCAGTGTTTCCTTAAGACGTCGCTGCAGTCACCGCGTCTCAGTCGATCGTGCTTGGGAAGTGACGTGTTGGGGTCACCTGTGTGCAGCCCCTGTTTGCCTTTGAGTACGGCGGGCGCTTCACGGCCAACGGCTGGGCTGTGTACGACCCAGTGGCGGAGTACCGCCGGCAGGGCCTGCCCACCGAGAGCTGGCGAGTGAGCCGCGCCAACGAGGGCTACCGCCTCTGCGACACCTACCCCGCCCTGGTGAGTCGGGGCAATGTTGCTCGATCAAAGTAGGCCGACGAGCTTCTTAGAATGCCCGGTACCCTTTCGCAGCGTGTTTGTTCGGTAGATCTCACTACGCCGTCGACCCAATCCATGTGGAAAGAGGCAATGGAATTGGTGGAACGTTTATGCACAGTGCCTGCGGTGAAAAGGGATTTTATTGCGGTATTTATGGTGGACGTAAAGTTTGCATGAAGGTTTGTGCAGAAAGAGCGTCGTTCACAAAGGACCCCTCTCCGTTGCCCGTGGTAGCGGTGTCGCCGGCAACGCTAGGAACGCCATCCTCCCATACTGGCTCTCGTGCGAGCAATGGAGAAATACCGTTTTCATGCGATGTTTTTTTGTGGAGCTTGTCGACCGATAGATTTAAGAACGTTGAGTGGGTGCACGTATTTGGCACACGGGGAGGTCCGACCTCTCGCGTGGACGTCGAGACAAAAAGGAAAGCGCATTTAAGACTGAAGCCTCCACTAGTTGGTAAAACGTGCTTTCAGACGACGGGGATATTTTTTTCATATTCCCCTTACATGCCATACTCGCCGTGTGGAAGCAAATGTTTAACATACATATTCCTGTTATCTTTGCTCTTTTGCACCCTCACCTGCTAGGGGCTATCCAGAAAAGCTTGAGTATATTCTAAATAAAATTATACCTACCAATGAAGTGGCAGTAAATTGTTGTTTTGTCACCGACCATTGCTGACCGAATAGCGCTTCTTTGCAGCTGGCCGTCCCAGCGGCTGCGGACGACAGCCTTCTGGAAGCGGTGGCCGCCTTCAGGAGCCGGGGTCGCATCCCGGTGAGTGTTCGCCTTCCAGTCTCTTCCCGAGGGGGACAGTCAGTCACTTCTGGGGTCATGTTCGGAGCAGCCGAAGACCAGAGGACGCTCTAACACAGGGGTCTCAAACACGCAGCCCGCGGGCCACATGCGGCCCGCGACTCTCTGGGATGCGGCCCACAAGCCTCCCGCGGATTCGAGCCCGCGTTCCCATGCCTCGAGCACCATTAATAATAGTTTTATATTGTAGATTCATTTTCGTTCAAAAAAGAGCTCTGCTCACATAACATGTTCACACATTTTTTACTATTCTGTTTTCTTTTTGACGGAGTACTACTTCGCCTAAATATTTGCTTCTCGGCCCTCTCTCATGTAAATCAGCCGGAACAGCACTGCCACAAATAGGTCACAAGTGCGAGCTCTTTGCTCAAGACGGCACCTCGGCTGCACAAATTCTTGCTCAGCAGGAGCTACTGCTGATGATAAAGCTATGAGCTTGAGCTTCTAGCTGACAGAAATACATTTTAATCAAAGTGTTTTCTTATAATGCTGCCATAAGAATCCTGAGGAAAGAGAAACTGCCATATGAAGATTTTTTTTTTTTATTTTTTTTTTTTATGCTTGTTGAGTTTTGTGATTTGTGCGACGGGTCAAGGACAGTGTGCTTGTTCTCGCTCTATTGAAAACTGCCAGTGTTTTAAATTTGCTGATAACATCAGGCGTGGGCCCGAAGTAGTCATATATGCAAATGAAAGCTAAAAATGGCAAAACGGTGAGCTTACAAATAGTAGAAAGCAGAAGGTTTCTTCTCTAAAAAATCTCTGTGGTATTACTGGGACAGTCGACGTTTGCAGCGTGAATCAACACTGCTATTTGTTTGTTTATATTTTTGTCCCAAAATAGCAAAATATTGCCCCGAAAGGACGAACGCCAACTTTGGCCTTTGTCCTTTTGGGGGTGAGCAATCTGGGCCCCACACTTGAATGAGTTTGAGACCCCTGCTCTAACACGTTGTGTATGTAGTGAAGGATCCTGGGATTCTTTGAATTGCGCTGCTCCGTTGTTCTGGAGACAGCAATGAAGGTGAACAGAACGTTGAAGGAGTGGTCGATAAAGCGGGCCGTATACTTTTGCAGTCATCTCCCCTTGAAGTCGAGAGATCATAACGCTTTCAAAAACGTTTTTAGGTTTTTTGACGTTTGTAACAAGTTAAGGGGAGGAGGAATCCAGGTGCTTATAGTCGATGACAAGAAAGGAGCACAGTCAGAGGTTCCGCATGCTTTTCGAGTGGCCTTACGTGAGTCGAAATGCAGGTGTGTCAACTGCTCTTTTAATGAAAAATTGTAGTGGCTTAGCTCAGCTATGCCAGGATATACGTAGTGTGAGCTTATGCGCACACAATGAGAGGCGCTATCAAGCGGCTCCGGTGCAGCGTCAGACTTGGCTACTGCGCAGCGGAGGCGCACAGCTGGGCATGCAGCGGCGCCAGTGCGTCTGCTGCGGCTATGACGTCACTCCTCTGAAATGCGCAGACCGGGGAGGCGCGCGCAATGGTGGCGGAACGCGCGATGCGGCGGCGGCTCCGGAGCACCAGCTGTGCGCCTTGTGACGTCACTGCTCTTCGTGCTTGCGCAGCATGGCTCTTTGACAGCCACGCGAAACTGCTCAACCTCGGCCAGTGTAGCTCACGCTACAAAATGAGACTTCTAAAACTTGCACGTAGCTTAAGAACAAATGCGAGTGTCTTATGATGTGTGTGTATTTGATTTTGACGTTAGCAGCAGTTCTGATACGGTTCATTTTTCTGTAAACGAGCAAAATGCGGTGTTCTTTCATTCTGCTCACATTCTCAAACGAAGTCAGTTGATTGGGTGCACGCGACAGTTTTTTGTGGCACTTGCTGGGGTACTGGCATTTGCAGAATATATTTGTTATTTATCTATTTGCAAATATCCTAAGGGTTCCTAGGGTCATTACAGAGGGGAGGGGTCGGTTATTACGAGGCAAAACTTGGTGCTACCGGTGATAGCGACGACGTTATTGGAAAGGCCATTCCAGTCCACGCCAGTTTCAGGTAGAGGTGAATGCCAGTAGGATCTGATTTTGGCCTTGGGTCGGTCAATCTTGCTCAAGTGGTCGACTCTCAAAAGAACATAGGTGGACGGACTAAGGAGAGATTGTTTAAAAAAGATTGCAAACAACCACACAAAGTAGGGTGCGATTGACGGAGGCAGCTGCTGCATTGTGGAAAGGCACGTTGAAGGAGATTTGCCTGCAGCCAGTGTGATGTACAATGTTTGCAATGGGTTCTTTGCTTTCAGTCAAATTGATATAGGAGACGTGCTCGAGGAGATTCATGCTTTGGTGGAATGATTGTGCGAGATGTTCCATGTGTCAAAAAAGGACACAGGGACATGCTTCTTTTTTTTTTTTGGCTGAAACACTCTTTCAGAGCGGGAGTGCCCGTGACCGCACCGCACCCGCTTTGGAAGAAGCGGAAGTATGTACGCGAGCGGTTCCGTAGAAGCGCGGAGAGTACACGAAAACAGAATCTGGGCTGCGGGAGGTGAGGGATCGTGTCCGCATGGTGCCACCACGTGGGTACTTCTCAACGGCGGCTGCGGGGGAGAAAGAGAGAGCATCGCCAAAGCGAGAACAGCAACGGCCTACAGGAGAGAAGGAAGGGGGAGCGAGAGAGAGCCTTACCATGTATGAGGAGCAACGGGGAGAGGTAGAGCAGTGCCTCCGCTGTAGAGTGGGTTTTCATTCGTACGTGAGCATTCTTTTGCCGAGAAGGGGCACCGACAGCTATCAGCGTAAAATGGAGACATTGTCCTCTTAGGCCTGTTGTCCCCCCTTCGCGTTGCCCCACTGTCTCCCGCACTGCACCCTCCTGTCCGCGTCCCAAGCAGCCGTGTCCGCAGGTGCTCTCGTGGATCCACCCGGAGAGCCAGGCGACGATCACGCGCTGCAGCCAGCCCAACGTGGGGGTGAGCGGGAAGCGCAGCACGGAGGACGAGAGCTACGTCCAGATGATCATGGACGCCAACGCCCAGTCGCACAAGCTCTTCATCATGGACGCTCGGCCCAGCGTCAATGCCGTCGCCAACAAGGTGGGGCCCGCCTTTTTGGTTTGGAACGGATTTAGGGCCGATTCCTTTGTATCGAGGAGAGGGGGATGGCCAGCTGCTGGAAGTGTCGCGGGTGTCTTTCTGAAGTGGTGTTGGGTACATAGTAACATGAGCACGTAGTAATCCGAGTGCATAGTAACTGGAGCACGTAGTTATGCGAGTACACGGTAGCTATAAGGGCTGTCAGCCCTGTCCTTCCATTGGTCCGGACATAGAGCATCAGATTATGGAGCAAAAGATGCAGGATTCGATGCCCGGCGAGGGGATGTGAACATGAAAGTGAGAGGATGTGAAAGACGTAACTCGGTAGGCGCCATGTGATGACAAAATGTAGGCCTTTGACGAATGAATGAAGGAGTATCCATGTGGCAGGCGAAGGGCGGGGGCTACGAGAGCGAAGAGGCGTACCGGTGTGCGGAGCTGTGCTTCCTGGACATCCACAACATCCACGTGATGCGTGAGAGCCTGCGCAAGCTGAAGGAGGCCTGCTTCCCGGCAATGGAGGAGTCCCGCTGGCTCTCGACCCTGGAGGCCACCCACTGGCTGGAGCACCTCCGGGCCGTGCTGGCCGGGGCCCTCAGGGTGGCCCACCGTCTGGAGGGGGCCAAGTGCTCCGTGGTGGTGCACTGCAGCGACGGCTGGGACCGCACCGCGCAGGTTCGCTCTTGGCTCCTTTGGTCGACCGGTTTGTTTGCCGGTTTGTTCGTTGATTGATTGATTGGTTTATTGATTTATTGATTGGTTCCTTCACCTGTTCAATGTTTGATGGATTGATTGGTTTATCTGTTTTTGTTAATAGATTAACTAACTAAATAGCGTATTCAATTGATTGTCACCTGTTCATTTGTTGATGGATAGATGGGTTCATTTGTTTGTTGATAGGTTCATTTGTTTGTTTGTTAATTGACTAATAAACTAACTGATGTATTTTTTATATTTATTTCGGGGTTTATATTATTACAATGGTTCACGCAGGGAGTGCAAAACAAAAGCAGTAGCAATACCCGTGCTCAACACTAAACGAGCATACATACCGTCTTTATGTTGTGTGTACTCCCTCACATGTAATGCCCTTAAATGGGCCTTTGAAGTTTTGCTTGTTTTGTGGGTGTGCGTAGGGCCTGGAACTCTTAATTCTCTTAAATTGCGAGAAACCCCTCGTAGTAATTGAAGTAATCGTGAGAGGAAGAGGTTTTTTACGTCCTTAATGCTATTTATTGAATGCTGTCTGAAGTCATGAGGTCATACGCCCACTGCACTATCTCTTGATGCATTATGATCCATCCCGTCATGTCATGAGTCCACGAAGAGGGGTCTACGCTTCGTCATTCTCAAGCCAGCTGCGCGTGCCGATGGTCGCCTGCGGGTTAAGTATGCTGGACTAAGTAGGACTCGCCACCAACAGTCGCCTGTGCACTAAGTTTTGTTGGACTAAGCATGATGCGCCACCAATGGTCGCCTGCAGACTAAAGCGCCGTTCACACTCTTGCGACTAAGTAAGACCGAGAGATACCAGACCGGTTTTTAAGCCTCTTGCGACTTTTAGGACCGGATGCGATGCAGCAGAGCTGGTCCTAAGAAGTCGCAAGAGGCTTAAAATCCGGTCTGGTCTCTCTCGGTCTTACTCGGTCGCAAGAGTGTGAACGGGCCTTAAAGGACACATGCAAAGAAAGAAAACATTTTTTTTAAGCAGCTTAGATGGAAAAAGGATATCATAAAACAATTTTACAACCAAGAAAAAAATTTTTAGAACTATATTTACGGCGCTATACGATTTTGTACTTGGCGTCGGCGGGCGCCGCGGAAAAGTGGCCCTTGACGGCCCCATATTTGTCACGTGGTGCTTGCGCTCTTTCAGAAGCTTGCTATGGCCTCTAAAAGTAACTTATTCATCTTTGTTTGAAGTATAACAAAAAACTAAGATGAATAAATAACTTTTAGAGCCCGAAGGAAACTCCTGAAAAAGCGCGAGCAGACGTGATAAACCTGTGCGCCGGTCAGACGACGGCGGCGGCGCCCCGAAGCAGACGAACTTGTGCGGCGGCGGCGACGGTGGCGTGGAGAAACGCATTGAAGCGGTTATCGCACAACGCTCAGCGTGCGGCGGCGAGGCAGCGCGCGGGCCTACCACGTGACCAGCGGCGGCTCCCGCGAGCGCCAACCACAAATTCGTATAGCGCCGTAAATATAGCTCTAAACATTTTTTTTCTTCATTGTAAAATCGTATTATGACATCATTTTTCCATCTAAGCTGTCTAAAAAAAATATTTTTTTCCTTTGCATGTGTATTTAGGTACGGTGGAATAAGTGTAACTCGCCGCCGCCTGTCGCCTGCGGACTAGTTTTTGCTTTGCTAAATATTACGCCACCGACGATCACCTGCTAAGTTTGCTAGACTAAGTATGACTCGCCACCGACGGTCACCTGAATACTAAGTATGACTCACTGTCGACGGTCACCTGTGGACTAAGTATTACTCACCCCTGACAGTTGCCTGTAGACTAAGTGTACTGGACTAAGTATGACATGCCGCCAACGATCATCTGCAAACTATGTAGGCCTGCTGACTATGTATGCTGGACAAAGTGTGACTTGCCATCAACTATCGCGTGCGAACTAAGTATGCTGGACTAAGTATGACTCGCCGTCAGTGGTCGCCTGCATACTAAGTATATGGACGTATGTAAGCTGAACTATGCATCACTCGCCGCAGACATTCGCGTGTTACTGCAGGCTACCGATAACAGCAAGTCGTGCTTAGTCCAGCCGCTTGCGCTACTTCCATCTCCTCCTCATGGCACCGAGGAAACAAGTCGAGCTACGGATCACGTGGTCCGGGGCTCGACTCTCAGTGAGCCTCTTGGTCGATAGATCGGGGTCCAGCTGCCAACTGTTTCGGCGGGTGCGTCCCGCATGTGCAGCTGACCAGCCTGGCAATGCTGATGCTGGACCCGTACTACCGCACCATCAAGGGCTACGAGGTGCTCATCGAGAAAGAGTGGCTCAGCTTCGGACACAAGTTCGCGCAGGTAAGAAGCCTCTCTCTCGTCGCTTTCTCCGCAGCGACGCGACTGCCGCGCTCGGCTGCGCACGCGGCAGTACAGGGGTGTCCCCCTCCCCCACCATTTGTGTTTTAAGTTGGAGTTGTGTTTGTGCGCCACACCTGCTATTACTTGGTGAAAGGTTGCGATATTTCTAAACGAGTCAATCTTTTTTCTTTTCTTTTTTCTGGTTGTTTGAGGGGGCTCTTGTGAATCTTAGAAACTTGGTAGTGTCGATTTGAATACCTTAAAAATTTTCCCCATTCCTGTGCTGCCGTGACAAAGGTGGTGATAGCACATCATGTGTTGTGTCTCGGTGATGTTACTCTGAGTTACTTGGTGCGTACCGTATTTTTTTGCGCCACACCAAAATTTACTATACAAAATTAAAAGCAAAGTAGGTGCGCGGGCAGTGCAGCTTCATGGCAATGCACGCGAAGTTGGAGGGTTAGATTCCCCAGAGTCCCTCCTCTCCAGTCTCTCCTCTCCAGTCTCTCCTAGGGACTTTCTTCCTATCTTTTCCTCCTTTCTTCTCCTCCTTTTCTTGGATAGCAATCTTTGCTTTGTTTTTGCAGGCTCTGACTCTATTGCGGCGTAGAAGGGTATAGTGGGCTCACCGCCTCACTCTCACTGATGCGCTTCATGTCGGAGCCCGGAGATGGCACCCCAATCGACCTCTCCCGAAGTATTTTCACGTTTGCGTACGCATCACTGCGGTTTGCATCAAAATTCTGAGCAATTGTTGCGTTCCCAGTTCTCCATGCTCTTGGAAATTATTTATTTCTTTATGCGTGTAAATTATCATACAGGGGGTCCGTGAAAACTTCCACCAAATTTGCATTCCCCCCCCTCCCCAAAAAAAAAGGAAAAAAAAAATTGCTGTCTACTTAACTGATATTTTGAGCTTGAAGAAGCACTTACGAAGTTCATCGAAAAGAGATGTCGTGGTCACGCCGTATCGACAGCGATTCGGCGTTACAGCAACTTTTCTCGACAAGATGGTGTGGAAAAGTTTTAAAAAATTTATGGCAAATTGCTAGGCAATTGTGTTACATACGCGAAACATTCTAGCATCACAAATGTTTAGTGATACAGTCTCCAGACGTCGGATGCCTACTTTCATGGTGCCCTTCATCAGGCGGTTTGACACATACCACGTGTACACTTGATAGTTGTTCCTACAATGAAGCGATACTACCACTAATCGGGCTCATAAACCTGGCGACCTTCCAGAGCCTTCCATACCCTCGAGCTCCTCTCCTTCAGCGCGCACAGGTGGTCCAGCTTCTCCTCGCCTACCCCTCTGGTCACATGAACTTCCCATTAACCCTTTAAGTGCCTTGGACGAGCTGAGCTCGTCGGCCACTTTCCAGGTAAAAATGCCATGGACGAGTTCAGCTCGTCCAGTGGTTTTCCGGTAGCTTCAATACCACGGACGAGCTAGGCTCATCCGAGTAGTTTGCGGCGTCGATCATAGATGGCAGCAATCATTTTAGTCAACGCCTTTTTTTTTTCGCCACCGCTGATTTTTGCCCAATAAACTTTTGAAATTTTATTTGTTATACTAGAGGACTAAAACTCCTTAATAAAAATATATAACATTTTTAGGTTGGTTTTTAAAAAAAAAATGGCACTCAAGGGGTTAACCGATCAGCATCGAGCACCTCACTCCTTTCCCACTTGTCAGCCAATCGGTGTCGAGCTTCGCGGCCACACTTTTATCCAGGCTTCACTTCTATCTGTGCTTCACGAAATACCAAACACCTTACCAAAGAATGTTTCACGTTAAAAGGGCTGCATCGGCAATAGCCGTGACGGCATAGGCGACGAAGCTACGTGCAACAATGAATGTGCCTCAGGCGATAGCTGGCAGTGACTGCAGTGACGAGTGTAATCAAAATAAAGATATGGTTTTTAGCAATATCTGGACGTTGCTTTGCATGATTAGTGCGGCTAATATGCGAGGTATGTTTTTGTTTTTTCGGAGTAGTAATTGGGATGCGGATTGCATGCAGGGGCGGGTAATACGCTCGAAAACACTGTATTTTACGCGTCAACAGCAGGAACGTTGTCGTGCTGAGCGTCGCGGAGCGAAAACTACGCCAAATCTGGTGGTCCAGCGGAAATGGAACGCAAATGCTTGATTCCCTAGCAGTCTGCACAGCCCAGCTTGGACCCCGCTGTTCCACATCTGCGCTGTTTCTCGGGGAGAATAAGCCCCTTGCAAAACCCCATCAGCCAATATTGGTGCATTCATGCATACTCGGAGTCTGCGTGCAAGACGTAGCGACCTTCAGTAGTGTCCGCAGCAGCTACGAGGTGGCCCTTGCTTTTGAAGGGTCGATGGTTGGGTTAACCATCGAGACTAATATGGAAAGCCAAACTTTCAAGATGCTTTTTCCGCTTGTTCTTACGCACTGCTGCTTTTTAAGATAAAAATGAATGGTCTGAAGATCTGAAAGGCCTTTTTGCCTAGTGGAAGCTATTCCTCAAATCTACATTTGGACAAAACGAAATGAGAGAGCTCATTGAAGGCTTCTGCCACTCTCAAATTTGTGCCAAAGAATGCGTAACTGGCCTTCTCTCGCAATTCACGAGTCGACCTGGTGTGTGCAGAGGATTGGTCACGGGGACGACAAGCATTCGGACGCGGACCGGTCTCCAGTCTTCCTCCAGTTTGTGGATTGCACCTGGCAGATCATGAACCAGGTGAGTGGGACGGGCAGAGGCCGCAATGCTGTTGCACCGACGGCTGTACGGGCACAAGGCGCCGAAGCTGCATGAAGTCTCGTCCTCTCGATTTGAAGCAAGAAGTGGCAGGGTGCATTCATATGACTGCTGCACCGTCTGCTCCAAACTGTGCTATCCTGCTGCACTTTATCAAAGTATCAGGAAATTGCACCAGCCTCGTGCAAAAGTAGGTTTCACTCCTTACGAAGCTCGAGCTTGCTAGTTTGGACGTGCTGTCACAAGTTCAACGACACCCTCTAGTTCCTGCGGTAAATTGCAAAAAGATGGCCGACTCACAATCTTTGATCTTATCTTTAATGGGGAAATCGGTTGCATATCAATCTCATTTTTTTTTTTTTTTGTAGAATGCTTTGGGTTCATAGATTGAGTTATGACCATAAATAGAAGATTTTAGAAACAACTTTAGTGCCCCTTCAACCCATAAGCTTCCAAAAGCCAACGATCCGCCGGCCGTGGCGGCAGAGGTCAAAGCGGACAAGGCCGGCGACCCACCGATCTCTGTTAGAACATTTGTTTTCCAATTATGCTGTTAGATTATGATGATATTATACCACTTGTGTTTTATTTTGTACCACTGACACCATTGTTGGCACTCAGGTCTGTACATTATGTACCATCTAGCTCAACTGAAACCCGTAACTCACTGACACCAGATGGTACTTCATGTTCTATGTTTTATTGCAAAATCAGGTTAAAAAAATTAAGTTTGCATTTGTTTTCTTAACAATTTCACTGGTGAAATCATTAATCCTGTGTTTGACAGCGACAAAAATGGTGACTGACAATTCAGCTATTGTCATGAACATCACTAGCAGTGATAGTGACGCAGCATGAGGAAGGCGAGGTGTCCAAAACCGCAGCTGATTCCTCGGCGCCACCTGCACCGCCAGTTTCGAATGCTCCACGGCAGTTTGCTCCTTTCTCAGCACACCATGCCAAATGATACAAGAAGATGTGTGGTGGATATAGCTGTTTACAACAGCGATATACACTGTATGAAACCAATTGACAAGATGACGAGCCAGTTGCAAGGACTATAATTTATACCTCCTCGAGTAGACCATCGAAAAGACTGTCCTTCCTGGACATAGACTAGGCATAATTACGATCATGGGTGCACCGTCACGGTTCGAGAGGCTCGTGAATGCTCTCATTTTCTCCGGAAAAGTCCCGACAATAGCACAAAGCAGAAATCGTTGAGACAACAGCACGTCGGAAAAGTTGAAGGTACAAGGGGTGAGAGCGCCCTGGGAGTGTGGAATCTACAATAAGTATTCGCAAGCTTCTGTAGTTTAAGCAGTTTGATATCTGCAAAGCTCTTTGGCTGCATTGCATTTGCATGTTATTCAGGATCAGTGTGAAACAAAAATTATCCTTCATTAACGTATGCTTCAAAGGTTATTATGCTTTTTCTTTGGCTCCACGGGTGGTATTAGACTGACAGAAATGGGGCTCGGAACACTGCGTGTCTAGTCGAGGGTGACGACACGACGGAAGTGAAGGGGTTAGGTTTATTCGGTGTTTTGATGAGAGTCTAGAGCACTTGGAAGTGCACCCTAAACGGAGTGCCTGCCCCTCTCGATCACAGTTCAAGAATGCCTTTGAGTTCAACGAGCACTTCCTGATCACCATCCTGGACCACCTGTACAGCTGCCTCTTCGGGACCTTCCTCTACAACTCGGAGCAGCAGAGGATGAAAGAGGTGGGCGGCCATCTTGCCAGTTTGCGGGCAACACGGTCGGGGATGCCACGAGCTGTCACGAGGCTAAATGCGCACGTTGATCCACCTGTGTTTTTTCTTCTTGAAAAATTGGCGAGGGCAATAAAGCGCGGACGATAATCGTATTGTTTGCTTCCTCGCCAGTGATACGGGGTGCTTTAAAGGGAAACTGAAGAGGTTCTTTTGAAAAAAACGAGTTAGAAGTGAATTCCAGAGTATTTTCATCCTGTGAATCTTAATATCACGTTTGTTTTCCTTGCCCAACGAAGCTGTCGATTGGTGTATATCTTGCATCGGCCCGGGCTTGCGGTGACACACCGCAGCACCGAGCGTAACCCGTGCACTTAAAATGCTCGTCAAAGTCTCCCTGAAAATATCACATTCCTCGAGGCCGACAATCGAGCACTTGCAGCAAAGTTTTTTGTTGCAGCCAGCGAAACTATGCTTTGCCACAAGGTTCGTTTGAGCTAGTCTTTTATTTGACATCTTGAGGTAAAAAACGGCGCAACTGGACAAGGACGAAGAACAAGACCAGCGCCGAGTCCCGTCTGTTTATGTTCCTCATTCTTGTCAGATTGCGCTGTTTTTACCTCAAGGAACTCCGGTGCTTAGAACACGTCACCGGCCGTTGTGTTCACCACGTCGAAGAGAAGTGGTCCCTCGATTTCCACCCTTGCGTGGGTGACTGAAAAGCGTCGCACTGCCTTTTCTGCCACCGGAGTGAATGGCGACGTCTTCTCCCCCCTCAGGGTGTGCGTGAGCGCACGCAGTCGCTCTGGTCGATGGTGAACAGCGAGGTGGAGGAGTACAGCAATCCGCTGTACACCACCTACCCTCAGCAGCAGGTGCTGTTCCCTGTGGCCAGCCTCAGGCGCCTCCAGCTCTGGAAGGGCTACTACTGCCGCTGGAATCCACGCATGCGCCTGCAGGTATTGCACTGTGGCCGACAAGGAAGGGGGGGGGGTCGCGGGAAATCTGCCGAGAGGGGCCAGGGAATTTAGGGTGGGGCGAGGGTTTGGAAGGGCAACTAATAAAGTGGGATTTTAAAGTTTCATACCTCAAGTAAGGCTCATTGAGTTCAATACAATTGTTATCAATAAATGGTAGATACATAAAAGAAAAATAGGGACTACTAACAGAAGGACAAAGGCAGCCAAGTTTGGTTGGAGTGTTGTGACCTTGCATTGGTGACCTTAATTGCCTTTGTCCTTTTGGTTGCTAGTTCCTTCGTTTTATTTTTTAACGTTTTGTGTGTACTATTAGGTCGTGGGCCTATGTCAGAGCGTCTCAGATGAATGGAATTTTAGCTGCGTTTCAAGTTTTAATGCGAAAGCATTAACTGTCCCATGTAGCAAACCGGCGTTCTCAGCTTTGGAATCCGCGCCAATTGGTACCTAAATTTCCCTGTCCCATGGAGCAAAGCCTGTAGTCTGTAGCAGCGAATTGATGAATAAACTCCCATTGGCTGGCGCGCGGCATAGTTCCCGGGAACGCCATCGCACACTGAAGTCCTCTTCATGGCACAGCGGCCCGGCCACCAGTAAGAGGGAGAGGGTGGCCGGGCTCTGCAGAGCGGCCGGCTGCAGGAACGCACTACGTTTATGAATGCTTTCGCATTCCGACACGTTAGCTGTCTTAAGTGTCTTTGTATTAGTTGTCTGTCACTTTTTCTCTCGTGCTCTATGTCCCTCTTCAACCAGCTTGCCTGTACTCCAGTTTAACAAACGAGTTGGGCGCAAAAGTGAGCCGTTCAATGCACTGCCGCAGGAACCCCTGCAGGTGCGGAGCAGGGAGCTGCTCCAGCTGCGAGCTCAGCTGCAGAAGCAGCTGCAGGAGCTGAAGAAGGAGCACGAGAGCAAGTCACGCCTCCCGCCCAGGGTGTCCTCCCCAATTACGGTCTAGCCACCCTGTGCATCCGTCGCCATCTCACTTCTGTGCACCCAAGGCTCTCTCTTTGGACTGAAAGGGATGCTCTGCTCTTCTCACCATTTCAGTGACTACGTATACTGGTGTAGTACAGATATTACTTTTTTTTTGCCGTATTCTGTACTATCGTGTGCTACGTACGCCAGCTCATGTCTACAAACAAACCGGAATGCCCCTGGCGGCACGCCACCAGCGCCGCGCATGCGTGACGAGGTGTGGGCAAGAAGCGCGCCGTCCCACATCGAAAAGCCATTGGAATTTGATGTTGTCGGCGTCGGTGTGAGTCTCCATGCTCTTTTTTGTGTTGGAAGTGTTGATTCTATGTCTTGCCAGCAATGTCTTTCTACTTTAGTGGCCTGAGCGAAATTAACGAGGCTCTTTACACCGCAAAGCTTCGCGTAAATAATGTTACGTGCTGCGATTCGTTCCGCGTGAATGCCGCAGAATGGGTGCTAAAGCCTGTTTCACGTGATGAGATTCTGCTCGCAGTTGCAACGTCGCTCGAGCTACAAGAGTGTGACGGCAGCTGCAATGCTCGACGTCACTGAAAATCGCAGGCATAATTGGACCAAGTGAATCGGGCAAAACAAATTGGCAATCAGCACTGTAAACAATTGTCAACATCTCCTTGTATATACTGTTTATACCAAGCCTACTTACCCCGAACAACCGTCAAACTAGAAGTCTTTTGGAGCCTGCACATACTTATCGCGACCTTTGGTTCACTGGCTGTTGTCGTGTGAATGAGCAAATGACAGTTTGACCGAATTTGAAAGAGCAGACAACAGTCTGAATGTGTTTGAAAGAGCAGGCGACAGTTTGAATGAGTTTGAAACGGCAGACGACAGTTTGAATGATCAGACGGCCGTTTGAATGTGATGACGCACTGAGTGGTGGTCCGCATTTGGTCCAGACAGCTTGACCGTTTTCCCACATTTATGTTGGAACAAAGCAAATCAGACGACCATAAGTTCCTGTGAATTCGACCCAAAGTGCTCCCCGCACGAGCAATCGTGATCCAACGGCTTTCAGTTTTCCCTTTTCACGGCACCTATTCATGTTCCCGGACAAACTGGGCAAGCAGAAAACACATGAAAGCATCTTCACAGCTTTCCCAGCTCTTTTGGTACAGCCCCAGTCACGTCATCTTGACAAGAATGTAGGTTTTAACCATTTTAGTGAAAAACCCGAGACTGAGGTATTGACGGACGACGACAAGGAGGAGAAGAACATCTCAAACACAGCTAAACCTTCATTGAGGACAAAGCCCTTTATATAGGACTAAAAAAAAGAAGGAAGGAAAGGGAACCCTTCTTCACACCACCTCTCTCAACAAAAGATACGACACCTGGTTCTTTCCAGAACAATACAGGAATGCCCGTCCTGCACGGTGACTTCTGCCCACACCTCAGACCGAAATTGCACCCAAAACGCCACCAGCGCGGCATGTCATAACTGAGTTGGGTTAGTGTAAATATATATAAACAATGTGGTATATTTTATACCATTTTATCAATGTAATATAGTATGGAATTAAAGGCAGTATAGTTTGGTGGTTTCAGTTTGCAGTTTTAAAGGCAGAGCAGAAGGAACTGGCCAGAATATCCGTATTGTCACATTCTTTACATTCTTCAGTACTATTTGAATGAAAATTTTGTGGAAAATCGAAATTTCAAAGTTGTGGTACATTTCGTATGTTTTTACTGTCAAGTTTAATATTTAAGTACTTTCAACTTGTTTTTTCTCGTTTTTGTAGAACAATAATTGATAAACACCCTTGTTAAAATGTCATACAGAGTATTAAATAAACCTTCCTAGAAAGGTATGTCTTCTGTATTGAGATGTGCCTGCCATAACTACCGTTTCTTATAAGCGAACCAATTTTTTCGGAGGATAGTCTGCAAGACATTACAGTGTTTTATTTATAGGCGTTGTAAGTGGATGCCAGTGTGCATGTTTCAGTGGCAGCACTTCTTGCTGAATGTTTCGACCCTTGAAGTCTAGTGAGGAGAGAGGTTGTTTGACCAAATTTTGCTTCACTTGCCAGTAGATTGCCGTTACCGCAATTTCCTGGAAAGTTGCACATTTGGGTAGTGTCTGGACGGCTTTTGTACCCGGTGATGGGCCCAGTCGCGACTTGTAGTGTGCTTGTAAAAGGATTCTCTGGAGTAGAGGACATTTGAGAGTTTCACGTTGCACCTCATTTATGCCATAACGGGGCTTGTCTGCCATTGATTAGTGCCCAAAAGTGATTTGTAGCGGAGACTTGGCGAGGTCACTTGATTCTTGCAGGTCCCTTAACCGAACGGACAGCCTAAATCACTTCCCGGACATTGTAGGTGCAATTCTTCACAATTCATACTTTGTTGTTGTCTTAAGTTTTTCTTCTGCTTTCTCCCCTGTAATTCCCTTGAGCCTCGAGAGTATGCTAAATAGAAAAAAAAAAAATATTGTAGCTGATTGAGATTTATATTGTTCTTGCTGTCCTGTGTAAATATTTTCTTGAGATATAAGTGTTTACAGGTACAACAAGATGCATTGTATGTCGTTGATTGCCTCTATTTCACCTTACAATGAACTACAAGCAACGCTGCGAACCACTGTAGCTATTCTAGCACTGTGAATCGTCGCTTTTCCGAAGGTCACATGCACAGTATTAGATTGACTTGAGTAGCTCGAAGTGACCTCTGCAGTTCATTGTGAGGTCAATTGGAGCGTTGGGTAGGCTGCAAGCTTTGTGCCCGTTGATTTTTTTTCTGCCTTCCGCTTTTAAAGAGGAAATTTGGAAGCCATGGCGACTGTAAATATTTGCTTGTGTTTTTGTACGACTTATTAAAATTTCTGTACCTTGTAATGTTCCGTTTCTCTCTGCAGTGACCTCTGGAGCAAGCGTGCAGAGCTCTATGTCCTAAGGTGTTTGGGGACAAAATATATGTGGCAATACGAACTAGTCCAGCAGTGTTCAGGTTGGGTGGGGCAGTGCAAGGGCAATGCGAAGACTCCTGGACACGTTAAGCTGTTAAAAAAAAAAAGGTTGGAATGATCTACTGCACTTCCACTGTTGCAGTCAGTTTCATAGCGTAACATTCTGGAGGCACCTGTGGTGCATTTTATCCTTTTCGGCTAGCACTGCACTGAAAACGGCTCGCAGTGCCGCTGACTGTACATTGACAGAACAAACCTCTCTCAGAGATGTTGGTAGAATTTCTATCGATGGCACTAACCTGGAGAAGAAAAAAGAACACTTGCGACTAATAAATAAAATATATTGCCCTTGATGGTTTAGCTGGCAGGTCTTTCAGTCCTAAAACATTTCCCTTTTTTTTTTTCTTTTTTTTTTTTTTTTTATTCTATGCTTACCACGGCAGACCTGAACCATAAAGTCTTCTGTGTTCCTGAGTCTCGGGTTCTTATTACCATGAATCACCACCAGCTCGCTTGATTTTTAAGTATTGATGAAGAGCAATATTGTTTTTAGAATTTCTATCAGATACACATTAATTTCTCTGTTAGTAGGACTAATCAAGATTAATTAAAAAATAAAGCCTAAAATTTCGGTGATTTGTATCTTTTTAAAGGGACACTCAATTTTAAGTATTTAACTAAGACGGATGATCCCAAACAAATTTTCCCCGAACCTACCCTCTATTTCAGGACTTTAGCGCCGAAGTAGAGGTTAGTTTCGGAATCACTTGTGTCTTCAGAGAACTTCTAGAGGTGGTCTAGCGTTTACAAACTTGTATTGATAAAAGGGTCAAAGAATCTCCTTGCATGAAACGCAAGTCGTTGGAAGATTTATTTCCATCCATACAAGCTCCCGTTGCTATGCGCCACGCCCACCATGCGAACGGTGAGCAAATAAACCGATAAACCGTTCGAGATGTTTTTCTTTACATTCAAAGTTTTAGCACTCGTATTTCCAGCGCAATTTGGTAAAACGTGAGCGGAAGAAGGCCTCGGTCGAGTGCTACAGCGAATCCGACAAATCGTGACTTTCGACGCAAGCAGCAAGAAAAGATATGTCGAAACAGCTGGTCCCGTGGAATCCATCCAGGTGGCGCAGCCATACAATCGACGTTGACGTCACTGTGGCGTCATTTCTCTGGGTTCCCGGATGAAGACGTCACGCAGCTGTTCTGTGGAATAACAAGGTTTTTTCCTCGGGACATATCTAGATGCTAAACAATTTTCCCCTTTAAAAAGTAACTTAATTAGGAATTTTAATATGTCTACACCAGCTAGGCGAAGACTCATGCGGGACTTTAAAAGGTAAGTCGCCCTAATTTCGACGCCAAGTCTTGCTCCTCGGTCAAGCGCCCTCCTCTTTCGCCACTCACTTTTCTAACACTTCGAGTCCGACTTTGAGGCGTAAAACGGCGGACTCGACGCACCCTCAACGATGCCCAGAAACTCACCGTCTAACCTCACAGGTGCCCCCAAAAGCGTAGCGATTCGGGTCAGCCTCAATCGGTGCTAGGACGCCTCGTAAGACTACCGTGTCCCCCCCGTCTTTGCTTGTTTTGACTTTTCCGTCCCTTGTCGCTGGGCTCAGACCCTAGCGAGGTGTTTGCGACGGTGTTTCGAAAGCGTTTATCGGAGACGTGAACGGGCCGGGCCGAAAGGGCCAGGGCGACGGTGAATCAGCTGTTCGTATTGCGTCAGCAGTCCCCCCCCCCCCTTTGGCCTGGCGTGTAGGCCTAGGAGAGCCCCCCCACCACCAGTGCTTGCTTGACCTTGGAAGCGTCGAACCGATTCGAGAAATAACAACGCATCGGCCGTGCGCGTTCGCACGGCTGGACGGCAATCTTAACGTGGGGGGGCCTGCCGACGACGACGGATTCCCCGAAACTGCGTAGTCGGGTGATTTGGCAAGCGTTCAGCGAAATACGCGTCCGGCCAACGGCACTGTTGCGCGAAACTCCTAAATTAGAAGCTGGGCCCTTGGCCGCCGTGGCTGCGCGAGCGTCTGGTCGTGACGCCCTCAAAACTTCTTCCCCGTACCCCTAGTTCCTCGATCGATCCCGCTCAAAGCGCCTCCGAGAAGTCCCGACGTCGGCTTCGGTCGCGCAAAAGCTAGTCGTCCACTCTGACTCATCGGCGTGTGACTGCGGTTCTGAGGCGGCCTCGCGAACGCCGTGGCCTGCTCTGGCCGTCGGTAGAAGTCGGCTTTTACGGAAAGCTTGAAGACTACGCGGTGTCCAAAAAGTTGCGTGAGCTGGTCAACTGTCACCACTGCATAATCAAAAAGGGTTCTCTTTTTCTTGGGGACTAATTGGTGGTGGCACCGTACCTCCAACGGCAGGATCCTGTGTAGATAATCCTGCCTTGGGACGTGCTCTTTGCCCCCCTGGACTGAGACAGTGTCTTCTACAGAAGTCGCAGAGTCGTTTGTCACGAGTACTTGGTTCTCTTCAAAACTTAAAATCCTGTGCTATAATATATTTTTTTTCCTTATTGTGTGTTTTATTGTCTTGAACAGGCTATAAAGGGACACCGGCAGGGTATTTCTGCTCACCTAGGTTTTTATTCATACATGACATATGAGAGCACAACTACCTGGAAGACAATTTGCGGCTCGAAATTTGTTTCCTTTCCGCCCGAAAACCGTTGCCTGGCCGGTTTGAGTTACGCTCACTCTCTTCTCCGTGGTCACGTGCCATTTTCTATGGTTTAGACACAACCACCAAAGATAATCAAAGTTGTGGGTCATCAAGACATACACTCAATACTAGAAATGGAAAAAAAATATGATACCCATTTTGTGTGGCTTCTAAAAAGCTGCAAATTTGTTGATAGAAAAAATGAGACGTTTTCAACTCCCTGTTGAGGAGGAGGGGAGGGTACGAAGGGGACTGTTTGCCCTCCGCCTCATCTATACCCTCTCCTCCCTCCTCATCTCCCGTGCTCCTCGCCCTCTTCCTCCCCCTCCTCCCTCCCGTGCGGTGCATTATGGGAAACATCCCATAATGCAACGCGCGCGTCATTGCAGTGCATTATGGGACGTTTCCCATAATGCACCGTGCAGTTACGCTAACGCTTCTCAAACTGGAAACGAGCGCCTAACAGCTGCGCTCTAAAAAAGTTGCCCAGCCACGTGACTTCCGGTATCTTTCTCCCCTTCTATATCTCTTCTTTTGAGCAGTTGCGTTTTTTTTTTTTACTTTATTGAAAATATATGTGACACTAACAAAATATTGATTGGGTAGTCTTCTGACACCATAGCTGATCGCATGGCAAAAAAGTAGAACACTTTTTTGGGGGGGGTGTCAGTGTCCCTTTAAGGATTTGTAGGGCATCGAACCTCATGGCGATAGTTCTGGAACCCTGTTCCTTCCACGGGTTCCCTCTCGACTTGTCTGTCGAGAGGGGACCCGTGGTTGTGAACCTGGTCGCTCTCCGATCTGACCTCGTGTTGAGCTCGCTCAAAGGCTGCAGTGTGTGCATCGCATGTGGTAGATCAGCTTGTGTAGTTGTCATAGTCTTCCTGGGAATCGCTACTACAGGTCCTGGCACTTGTGCAAGATGTGTTGACACGTGGACCACAGATTTGGCGAGGCCCCTTGCTGAACGGCACTTTAGCATTGAGTTCGCAACAAAATGCCTGGGTGAATCGTATTCCAAGGCACGAAATACCGAGGGAGTAGAAAACTCTGAATGCGGTTTAGTCCCGAACAGCCAAAACCCCATCGCCAACAGTTGATACTGCGGAAGAAAGACAGGCTGGGATCATCACCTGCGTTCCACGGTGAATGGTTTGACCTCTCATCGCTGCATTTCTGCCTAGCGTTGGCTTTACGTCGGTGCTTGGCGCTGATGCGCAATTAATGTTCATTATTGTATGCAGCCCTCTTTCGAATTGCTTAGACGGGCTATAGATTTGTGGTGAGACAAGTATTAAAGTCTGTTTGCTGAAGAGCAGTAAGACAACAACCACACACATCAGTTGTCACTATCGAGATTGGTGTGTGTCGGGAACTGAAAATCGGAGCCTTCCAACTGCAAATATAAAATATAATAATTTGTAGTTGCGTGGTTGAGAGCAGCAGAAGGCGAGGTGACTCTGAAGTGTCAAAAATAGATGGGGGAAAAACCTGATTTATTGAGCGAGTGCTTCGAGAAAGGGAAGCAAGAGAAGTGCTCCGTAAGGCTTCTAGGCAAAAACAAGCATAGGCTTCGAATTGATTTGTGCAATCGGCACATTTTTCGTGACATGGACAAGTCACTGGCTTAGCACCCCATGGTATGTGTGAACGGGCCCTAAAAGAGTCTTTGGGAGCCCATGTTGGGTTCTTGCATCTCTCCTTTTTCTGGTAGCAGTAAATTATATCTCTGTTCAACTCGGGAGGGTCAGAGTGCCAGGACTGCACGGCCAAAGAGGTGACAGCTCACCAGGAGTCGTATGGCAGCCAGTTTCTGGCAACGCACGAGTTCAAGAGGGGTAGTCCCGACGAGATACTAAGATGTGTCTTTCTCCTTGGGACCGTATTCGATGTGAAGATATCTGGTATGTTAATGACAAAATCCAGCTCAATCCTGAGTTAGATTACCAAACGGTGCAGTGCATATTAATTAGGACAAGCGTGCTCGTATGCCTGCCATTGCATGAGTGGTGCATAGTTATATTTTATACGTGCGGGTGAACACCAAACAAAATCAGAGACTACAAAATGAGGCAGTTCGGTTCGCTTTCGATCTGTATGGAATGCCTTTTTCTGAACTCACCCAGGGACTTGTGTTAGAGTCTATCCAAGGCAAATCACTTGTGCTGGCTTGAATTTTAAATGTGTAGCCTCGATGATGACGTCAAGCTAATGACATCATTGGATCCTTGTAGAGTTCACTGTCATCACGTGAATACCATGATGATAGTGTTCACATGATCTCATCAGCGTGATGCATGTCACGTGACATTGTAAAGTTTGAACTTTGTTACGAGAAATTTGTGCCAAGGACACCGAACTAAGAGCTTCCATCAGGAAGCTTTTTGTCAGGTGTTCTGATCTTAGTCGGGTGACACTGTCGTGCCATGTAACGTCACACGACATCACAGAGAATCTATAAATGCTACACATTTAGAGTGGATGAATGGATGGATGCTAATGACTGTACCCTTTATAATGGGCAATAGCTTGCACCACCTAAAGTCGCTGAATACTGGCCAAGTAGCGCCATTGCATTTCCTGCCTGCTAGTCGGACACAAATAAATACCAACATACAGACGACAAAATCTTTCAAGGTGATTGGCTGATCGGCCTCGGTTGCCATAGCGGTCGCCATTTTGGGCCTTTCAAACCTTCAAAGCTTCGAAAGGGTTGTTCCAACCAGTCACACCAATATTGCTAGGGAGCATCACCGTACTGAAATCATTCCTTGGCCATTGTATGCATCTTTGGCACTGTGCACGCAATACATTGATCACTCATGCTTACCTTACAATTATGTGGATCTTCTTGCATATTTCAAGACAGTGAAGTTATTTATCGATTCCTCCAAGCACTGACGTTTCATGTGATGGCAGCACGAAGATGTTCGCCATCACAATCTGCCCACGCTCCTTTTTCGAATTTCTAATCCTGATTGAAGGTCTGATTTGATGCACAGTACCCCATTGCCAAAAGGCAGTCCTGGCACCATCACTCGTTTCCATATACTCTTGATTACCTCATATCTATTATAGTTCCATAGTGCCTTGAGTTTCATAACAGATGAATTTCTTTTCCCTTTTCTAATTATATGGTCCTCGTGTTCCTCTAGACTTTTCCTTCCCTCATTGAATCAGACTCCCAGATATTATTTATTTTCCTACATGGTCTATTACAATGTCTCGTATCCTTAGGGGTTCCCTCCTTTCGTCGTTCAACACCATTACTCCAGACTTGTCACTACTAAAACTCATGCCCCTGGTGTCCCCTTCTTCTCCACATATTCCAGGTAGTTCCTGTATTGTATCCTAATTATTTGCCATGAGTACTATGTCGTCCTCATACATTGGTTCTGGTATTACCTGTATTATGTTTCTCCCTCCTTCCATATAACTCGCATCAGAACCTAAATTGCTCTGCTCTAATTTCTTTTCCATTTCACTTGGGTATATTATAGAGAGCAGGGGTGACGGTGGGCAGCCCTGTCTGAGCCCTCTCTTTATTGCTGCTAATTGTGTAGTTCATGTTTCCCATGTTATAAGTACCTTCTTTTCTGTGTACACCTGTTGAAGAAACTTAATCAAATTTGCATCTAAGTTATATCTAGGATTCTGTGTCTTCGGAGTTTATTTTTCGTCAAACTCTGAGGGCATTTTTCCGTGTTTATTTTTTGCCAATTGGAGTTTATCGGAGTTTGATTCCCAATTTTCCTAAATTCGAAGTTCAATTTTGTAGTGTTTCTTATATAAAAAAAATATCCAAATGTAAATGCGAGTTAGATTTAAAACAAAAAAGCGCACGACTGTATTCATTAATATTTTTTCAGCTGGATTGGGCGTTGGTGCCATCGTGTTGGCGCGATACCAATTTGTCCCACGACAAAAATTGCACGCAAGTGTTCCTTTGATAAACATTGTTACCTTAAAATCAATAAGCTCCTGGAGGTAGTCGCTGGGAAGCTTATATTCATCCTATCCTATTGCATCAATCAACCCACCCAGCAGCCGCTTGAGGTGGAGTGATAAAGGATGTACAAGAGAAGCTTCAACTGCCACCCGCCTTCCCTCCCCCACTTCCCCATTTTATGCAATCTATGGTTCATAGCTTTCACTGTTACAAAAACAGAACCCTACCAAACTGTAGACCAAAACAGCTGCTTTTGTTGTGACCCTAAAGTACAAAGACCTGTTGTCCTGAATAAACCTTTACGAGATCAGCAGTAAGATCCCTTCTGTCAATGGTCCGAGATTTGAAAGATAACTGAGGTGGCATTTTCGTAGGAACATTGACACTGTGCGCTGATCAAACTTAATTGTAAAATAATTTTTTGTTTTGGGGGGGGGGGGGGGGGGGGGCGGGGGGGAGGGGTACATCAATATCCTGAGCTTGTCGGAGAAATCCAAATTAACCAAAATTTTACCAGCGGGTGTTCTTTTTTTTTTTTCTGAAAACACTGAACTCTAGTTATGTCCCTTCAGCTGGTTGCAGGGTTTTTCCCGGTTCACGTTGTCGTTTGGTCCCTTAATGTTCAAATACCCTTACAGTAAGGGGCTTTAACTCTTCATTGACATCTTGAACCTACGAGAGGTTGGTTGTCCAGCCCGCGGCAGTTGTTGGCGCAAAGTTTGGCTCTAGACGTCCCTACGTGCCCCGCAGGTTACAAGAGGACCCGCCAGCGGGAGTGAGTGGTGCGCCGACGGACAACAACATCATGATCTGGAACGCCGTCATATTCGGGTGAGCGTGGTGGCCCTCTCGTGTGCTGGGTGCATTGTTGACCCTCCGTCCAATTTGTGCATTGCCGACAGCCCTTTCCCTTGGCACCTCGCATTAACCCTTTGAGTGCCGGGTTTCTTTGTTGCCGCACACCGAACGCAAATTTCGGTCTCGCTAACACCGCTGCGCCCGTGAAGAATATATATATTTTTTTTTTTTTTTACAATAGAGGCACTTTTTATGGGCAAAAAGTTAATTGATTCTCACATGCCTCCAACCTGTGACACATTTATCGTATTGGACTTCTTGAGGAGCTTACCAAGACAGAGGTCTCCTAAACAGGAGAGCATACATGCCATCAGAAAGTGGCACCTCAAGAAGACATTGCTTTCATTGTTTTTTATATTTGCTGCCACACGTAAAAAAAAAACGGCAGAGCTATTTAATTGAGAACTCTGGTCAGTGTCGGTAATATTCGGAGCATTGGTCTCACAAGTTGGCGTCCTACGTCTTGGTGAGGATTTTAATCACTTCCACGAACGTCCGAGAGAGACGCCTTTCTGTTCCGTAGGTGGCTATAGTTCTCGGTAATCAAAGGCGGGTTAAGAATGCACCGGAAGCTCCGCCCCAGCACGCGCTCGTTGCCCCTTTGTCGCGCTTTGGATGGCATCGGCACTGCCGTTGGGTTGGGCCCGTGGTGAGCAGCTTGCGGTGTCTGTGTGCGCAGCCCCCACGACACGCCCTTTGAGGACGGCACCTTCAAGCTGACGCTGGAGTTCACCGAGGAGTACCCGAACAAGCCGCCCACGGTCCGCTTCGTCTCCAAAATGTTCCATCCCAACGGTGAGTCGCCCGTGAAGGGAGGATCTACGGGCTCGGCAAGATTCCGACGGCAAAGCGTGTAACATATTTATTAATAAATAGGTTGCACGCTTCGCAACGGCGAAGCGTGCAACATATTTATTTGCGAGAAAACCCGCTTTTTCGTCGGGCGTTACCAGGAGGTAAAGATGGGTGCAGAGCGGGTGGTCTTGGGAGAGAGAACAAGAAAGGGAGTGACAGAAGAGCCGAGAAAGAAGGCAGACGATAGGTTATTTCTTTTCATACGACGCACTACGCCTGTGTTTTTCGCTAAGTACGAAATAAAGCTAGACAAACAATAAGTACAGACATTGCAAGTGATGTTTTCCTGCTTCATTGTGTATGTTAGAGCGTCAGCAGTGGGACCGCCCATGTCCGCGCCTGTGGCCCCCTGGTCTGAAGCGGCCCTTTCCCTCTAGGTTGTTATAGTAACTCTATGGATGTTACAAAGACGAAATAAAAGGGAAGCTGAAGCTCTTTTGACACTTCGCAAATTGGGTTATCTCACTTTAATTTAACAGGATTGAGTGCGAAGTGGCGTCCTTCGGAATAAACGTGCAGCAATTGCCGCGGGGTGTGCGTCGAACCTCTCTGCAGTATGTGGTGTATCAAAGCCGTCGTCCTCGGTAGCCTGGAACCAGTCGAGGGGCATTATTTTTAAGGCTTCTGCATCTGAAATCTCGCAGCTTTTTCTAATCAGAAAATTGATTCCCTTTTGAGGGCAACTTGGATCAAAAACGAAACCGAAATAAACAACTGGCATCGCTTTGGCGGCACGAAATATGATCCCAGCCGAAATATTGCGTCAAAACGAAGCCACATACTCCATAAAACCGATTTTAAAGATGCGACTACCGTAGAATACCGCGCATCCACTGATTCCACATTAACCGCCCATTCCCAAATCTCTAAGATCTGAGAAAATACGCACAGTACATTTATATCTAAAATTGATGACCGGGAAAGTGCCCATCCGCCATTTTTTTACAATTATCTCCAAAGTTTGAGTGGGCGCTTGCCCGGTGTTTTTTGGTAGCTGCTCTTTAGTGGGCGGCAGGCAGGTTAGCTTTTAGTCCAGGAACACTGGTGCAGCACCCTGGTGACGTCACGTCGTGGTGGAGCTGCGGTTGATCGGTTGTCCCGCATACCGTGTCGCCAGTGTGACGTCTCGTAGCGGCCGTACGGTTGATGATCAGTGTTGCCATCCCTCTAGCAGACAGTTTCGGCTTTGCCGTAGACGCCCGAAACCAAAAGTTGAGCCGTGATATTTAAAAAACTATACACAATATTAAAAAAAAAAAGAAAATTATACCTCTTAATATACGAACACTGCCTTAGGTAAAAACAGTCGTAATCCAAAATTAAAAAAATATTGATTGGAGTTGCCTTTTCAGGCGTGTGCGTGAAGGTCAAGGGGACAACAAAAGGGTGCAAACTTGGCGTCCCCTTTTGTTTGTTTGAGTCGGCGAGTCCCACTTGATGTGGGGGAGGAAGGGTCTTTTGGTTGCATTGGGTACTCCTCCCGCTTTGGTGAAAAGTGTTAGAAGAGAACCCCTGGTGTTCCAGTGTATGCGGACGGCAGCATCTGCTTGGACATTCTTCAGAACCGGTGGAGCCCCACATACGATGTGTCTGCCATCCTCACATCCATTCAGGTGGGTGGCTCCTATGTCTCAGTGTAAGCCTAGCAGAAGCTACGAGATGGAGCCGGGCATGCGCTCCTACGGTGTGACCATTGTTTGGCTTTGCTCACGCATGAAGCGAAGCAATTTAATGTCTTCTTACTCTCTGCTATCTGAGCTTGAGAAAGCTCTCCCTCTGCTGCACCTTGAGGTGTGCTCTCAAGAAGCACCTGCTTGTAGGCATTTCGCTGGGCAATGCAATCCAGCGGTGGGGGGAAACCGACAAGCGTGGGGGGGGGGAAGTGATTTTCGGCACTATTTGCCTTAGCCTCTCACACTTGCTAAATTGTCTCGATTATAAGTTCATGTTAGATTATTGAAGACACTGTTGATCTATCGGCGTTATAGCTATAGTTATCTTGAAGCGTGGGTTTGACAAATGGGTTGTTTTCATATTACATCAAACCTTGCATTGAAGTTGTACATTGCTTCTGTAGCTAGCTGCGCTAATTGCATGCTGTGTCATTTGAAGGGAAATTATTTTTTTTTTAACCTGTCTTCACAGCTAATCTCGCATGTATGTTTGTGGCTCCTAAGCTAAGGTGGCACAACTCCTTTTGGGTATATGCCACTGTTTACTTGCTATGAAGTTACAATTGCGCATGGTCTTTTTCCCTATTAAAAATGTGACCGAACGTCATGACATGCCCCTTTATCCAAGGAAAAACTACATTGTTATGACGTTTGTAGGATTGGTTTTATGGGAAAGGCCGTGCACATTTGCAATTTTGGTTTTTCCAGGATGCTTAGCGTGCATATATGGAGTTTGTGTTACAAAAGGATTACCTCAAGAACCAGTTTAGATCCCCTTCTCTTTCCGTATGTGATATGTGATGTGACCGTTGGATTCCACACACTGCCAAAATTTGAATTTGGCGTGCAGGAACACGTTGTGCCGTCTACTGTCGAGACTGGTTATAACGAAGTCAACGAAAATCGGAAATCACTTCGCTATATCCTCTATTTCGTTAAAATTGACTTCGGTTAACGAAGTGCAAAAGGGAATGAGAAATCGTGATTGTTTTGTTGTAGCGCTATTTTGTTATAACCGGTCTCGGCAGTAGTTCTTAAAATAAATGCTTGTCCATCTCTCAAAAATCACTTTTCCCTGTGGTATGGAAAGAGTCAAAGTGTTGGTGTGCAAATTTTCGACCAACAAATAACTTGTCAATTAACTTGCAGGGTAAGTTTTTTTAATTGAATTTGCCATAAGAACGACACACTCGGCGACCTTACCACACACCCCCGTTTAGACTTCTCCAAGATCTGACTGTCGGCACAGAGCCTTTCGTAGCAGTTGACTGGAAATCCACGAGATGGTGATGCATCACTGTGAGGTGTAGAGTGCAGGTGTCAATCGCAGCAGACAAAGTGACGAAGCAGCCAGACACCACCCAAAAGGCATTCATTTTTCCCCTCCGCAGGCTCTCATCAAGCCAGTCTTTGGCATGGTGGTGCCCCCCCTGGCAACCAATAGTAAATCAAGCCACAAATGGGAGCAAACAAGTAGCTTCCTCTGCCGCGTTCAGCGTTCAGACACCCACCATGTTGGGTCAGGCTTTGGCTGCCATCTCCGGTCAGTGCGTTACCCTAGGACAGCTTTTCCGCCCATGAATTAGATCCACACACTGCAAAGCAGCGGAACCCAAAGTGGGTCGCCACGCCACATTGACCCCATTTGCGTTGGTAGCATCAAGGAACTCTAGTGCAATGCCCCCGTCGTTCCAACGTCTTCTCTTTGAAGGGGGTTCTAAAGCGGAAATAGCCTCGACATCTTCTACTTGATCGTCCTTCGTCACTCGACATTTTTTTGGCAGCTGCGATCATCTTCCTGGCATCATTTTTTTATGGAACGCCTTTGTGAGTCGTCGAGCAGACGCAGGCTTTTTAGTTTGGGTTGTGGAAACGCAGCAAGCTCTGCAGTTCCAGTTTTTCTTGAAGGAGCCGGGAGCTTGTATTTTTGGGCGCCTGCAGGAGCTCAGAATCGTTACTTCCTCTCTCTAGGTGCTTCATAAGTCGCTTTTGCCACACAACCACCAAATAGAGGGTTGGACGACGTGATGATTCCAGGGCATCACTCGCTGCCTCGAAGGGTCCAAGAAAGTTTACGAGACACTGCAAAGTACCTTTTCCTACGTCGTCGACGCGGCTTGTTTTGCGCTATCCAATGCCATCTTGTAGGTGACGTTGGGTGGGGTGACGCTCGACGTGGGTGGGTTTTCGAGCACCGAGCTATGAAACCTTACACCTGGAGTGAGATCAATTAAATTTGGGTAGGCAGCCTGCGAGCGCAAGCTTTGACGTCGGTGCTTTCGAGAGAAAGAAAGAGAGTGGCAGAAGAGCGCAGAGAGATAGCAGACGATAGGCTAGGTGTGTACGTTTCTCCGCGACGACACGAAGTCGTTTGAGCCTTTGTCGGCCTTATTGTTTTTATATATAGTGCGCAACACCGATGTTGTTTTTATTGAGTAAGTACAAAATAAAGCTAGAAAAACAACCTTCCAAGTACAAAATAAAGCTAGAAAAACAACCTTCCAAGTGATGGGTTCCTGCTTCTTCGTGTACATTAAAGCGTCGCCAGTGATCCGGGCCCGTCGGGACTACCCGTGGGACCACCGACCTCCGCTTCTATGCTCCGCCATTCCAAAGTGCCTGCAATGCAAGTGACCTTTTCCTCTAGATCGTTGCTATAACTCTACGGTATTGCCGCGGCGCAGTCCCTGCTGGACGAGCCGAACCCGAACAGCCCGGCCAACAGCCTGGCGGCGCAGCTGTACCAGGAGAACCGGCGGGAGTACGAGAAGCGGGTGGCGGCCATCGTCGAGCAGAGCTGGCTCAACTTCAACGACGACGACGACAAGGACGCCAAGAAGGACGCCTCCTAGCCTCCTGGCCCCGCCCCCCACCCCCACTCCCCCCCCTCCCCCCACCCAAGAGAGAGAAGGACTGGACGACCAGAGTGTCCTGGCTTGCACGGATTAAAAGACCGGGGACCGTTCCCCCTCCCCCTTTCTGCCCCGCCCTCCCCCGGCTTTTCGTTGGCGTCGGTTAGGGACGTCGCTAGCAAGAGAGGCGCGTGCACCTACCAAAGCGAGAGGCCCAAGAGCAAGGCGCCGGCATAGTGTTCGCGCCACGATTCCTTTCCACGTTCCACCTCGGTCCCTCCGGCGAGGCTCGCCGGCACGGCAAGGTGGCGATGCGCGACCTGGCCGTACCGACGGGGCTGCCGGTCGGAGCGCTTCCGCGACCTCGGGGGATGCCCGGAAGGGTCACGCGTTCGTACCCACGTCGTCCGCGGCGTCATCGGACGTGTCGGGGACCGGGCCTTCAAGCGCCAAAGTGGTCGTCGCCGTCTCGCGCCGCACCGGTTATCGCGAGCCCCATTTGGAGTGCCCGGTATGGTCCCATTTCCTAACCCCCCTGCCCCCGTAAATGTTTGCCACAAAGTCGTTCCCTCCTCACGTTTGGGAAGGGCGTTTGTCCGCACACGGCACGAATCGGGATCTAAAAGCTAGGCCGCGGCGGAGTCGACCGTGTGCGACGGGAAAACGAGAGCGAGGAAACCGGTCGCTTTGTTCATAGCTTTCCTCCCCCGCTTGGTTCCCGAGTCTCGAGTTTGGTTGGGCAGTTGAGACATCCGCTATTTTCGGTCGAGAGCCCTCGGCTCGTGTGTATACTACCGTCATTGTTTATATCCAGAATTTGTCGACTTCTACGCTGGCACAATAAAAAATGCAGCCCGAGAATGAGCGAAAATGTAGCTGCGTGGTGGTGCGTGTTCTTGATGAGTGGCGTCGTCTCCCGAAGCTCCCGGTGGCGTGCCCCTCGGCAGTGCGGAGTCGTCCTGGTTTGTGGCGTTTTTTTTTTGCTTAGAGCCTAACTGCAGCCAGGAGATGGAAGAGATGCAAGGATGTTCGCAGATGCGGAACCTGCGGCAAGGCTTTGCTCGGTCCGTGGAGCTGGGTAGAGCACGCGCGTGGTCGCTTGGAGACGCTCAGTTGTGGTCCCGGTAGGGTAGGCAGGCTCGAGGTAAGATAGGGTGCGCTACAACGCCCACATCGAAAGAGCCGTCTGATGAAATTGCGAGCAGAAAGTGGCCTGCCCTCCGAGAGTTTGTAAAGTAGCAGAGCTTGCTGTACCACATATACCGTTCACTGTCCATTCTTTTTTTTTATTTACATTTGGAAGTGCATGCTTAAGTATTGCTTAACACCGGAGTTGTAACGTGGCACGAGTGTCGTGAGTGTTTAGAGGGCTTGGAGACTGCAACGGTTTGCAGGACGGTCAAGTGCGATGTTCCCTTCCCCGTGTACATTTTCCAACATTGTAAACTTGGCCCCTCCCCCACAGCAGCATTTGCACGCATGTTGCGGGAATTTTTATTTATGCTGTCTATTAAACCGCTTCCACAAACCCACTTGCCTGCATTCTGCGAGTGTGATTTATGCGACCAAAATTTGAGATTTGGCTTTCGACTGGAACTAGGCTGGCTGCTCGGATATCGTGCGGCTCCGGGGTGCAAAACCATGACATTGCACTCTCTGCCTGCGATGTATGTCTCGCCTATTTGGAGGTTATGTGTGCACCAATGCTTCACAACGCTTTTTCTATTGCTGGTAAATGCTTATAGGGAGTATTCACTGGCCACCATAGGTGTCTGCGGGACTTCCCAGCAGCTGCTGACAGCGAGCTTCCCCAGTCCTTCCACGACACATTCCACACCTTCAAGATTCGTTCTGAGCATGCGCTCCAAGCATCGCCCTCAAATACAATGTCCAGTTAATACCCCTTATAGCATAGTCCACAATGGAAGAAGACTGAGGTGACTGAACGAGGCAGCACAAGATTGTTTTGGGTTTGTGCACCTCCCGGCAGGGGCACCGTCTGTTCAGTAGCTTTTGCATAGGTGCAGTCGCACACCACATGGCCTTGTAAATGTCTGTGCGAAGGATGGGTTTAACTCTGAATATGTTATATGGCCGGAACCTAACCATGACCGGTTAGGTGCCAGTAACTCAAGTTGACAGGCCAACTCCCCGAATGATGACTCGGTGCTCGTTCATCAATTGGACACCGGTGCCAGCCGAACCTCTTGCTCAAGGACCTCCGGGTGTGGGGGGTAAAACGTCAAGTGTTCAGACATAGAGCTGCGCGTTGCTTCATGAAACGAGCACCCTCCAGCCTTCCCCATAGAAGAAGCAACAGAAAAGAAAGGGGAAAAAAAAAAAAAGCAGTCCTTTGTCGCAATCGGTTGAGCTGTTCCGAGTGTTTTGGTCCCTTGCCGCAAGCTGGTGCCAGGGCTCTGTTCGCATCGTCCAGTATCCCACGTGTGTACACAGTTCCTCCACCATCACATTCTGGGTTACTACAGCCTTCGCCTCGCAAGTGTTTGCAACTTCCACGACCTATAACTGCCGCTCTAGTTCCTATCAAAATAAAGTCCCTCAATAAAATTCACCCTTTCAAGTACTTGTTGTGGAAATGTGCAAGACACGTGCCACAAATGGGTGCCTTCCATCCACTTTCGTACTGCGCCACCATTCGCTTCCAATGGCTGCTCAAGACATAGGCTCTCTGCACTGGCACGTTTGACGCTACTTACAAGACAAATGCATGGAGGGGCTTTGTATCGAAATGGCCGTCATCTGGATGATCGTCGTAGAACGGCTGAATGAAATTCGGTCTGTGAGGGGCAAGCAATTCTAAACTGTTGAAATGCGAGTGATACGACAGCCTTGCGTCGCACTTCCACGTCGGGGAAGCTGGAAGCAAGTGCCTTTATTTTGAAGCTGATCATCCGGGAGCTCTGGCACCGCGGTACCACCATTGCCGTCCAAACGGCGACTGCCAAGGTTGCTCGGCGGACTATCGAAAAGGGTCTATTTCAAAGATGTAAGCGACGTTTTCATTCGGTCTCTCCTCCGCAAACTTGAGGATGAAGTTGCGGGGATCGCATTGCTGGCGTCGTTAAGGCTGTGATCCCCGGGATTTCGTCGTCAAGCTTCGCCATCCCCGCGGCGATGACATTTAAATGCGGCTCGTACAGTGGACACGAGCACTGCGTGAACATTTGATTTGGGCTCGTAACAATCGATGCCTCGCCATACGTTCGGGTAGTGGCTCTGGCCCAATCACTGCGATACAATGGCCGAATGTGCGAAACTAGGTGCGTGCCCTGTGCTTGGCCAACCCCAGTGTGTGGGTACAATAAACACTGGCAGCATATAATTAGCAGCTCCAGATCAGTTTCTGGCTGAGAGTTGGGTTGAACGCCGCTTGTTTTTCACTGATATTTGTTGAAACTGCCATCGCGTGCAGAAGAAAAACTAACGCATATTTCATGGGTTATGAATCGGGCTCTGTTTTCAGAGTATATTTTTTTTGTGAAATTCTGAAAGTGTTTTTTGTTTGTTTATTTTTAATGAAAAAAAATTGTGTTTTCGTTCTGTTATAAAGTTTCCAAAATTTGGAGCTTAATTTTGCTCTATTCCCAAAGTTCCCAATTAAGAAAAAACATCCAGACACAAACACCTGAAAAAACCTAAGGCAATGTGAAATGTTTACATTACATAAACCCCGAGACAGTAGGTAAAAATGACACAAACACTAAAAGGTCTCAAAACCTCTGTGTTTGTATTGATTTTGCCTGCAGTCTCGGGGTTTATGCCATGTTCAATTTAAACTAAGTCGTTTGCGCCCTTACATATTTACATTGTTGACACTAATGGTCACTCTATAAAACATCTAAATAAAAGTACTTTTGCTAGACATTCTCTAAATTCGGTTAAGTGTTCAATGTAGCCGATACAAAATTTTTTTCTTCCCATCTGGGAGCACCAAATTCCACAGAAAAGTTCATTGTCTGCATGGGAAGAGGGGTACTACAAGACTTGAGTTGAGCTCCCATGAAACCTACAGAATCATAGCTTGTATTGCACTGTTGTATAAACGGAAACCCTCCTCCAAGTCCAGGACTTAAAACCATTTTGTGACCCAGGGATACAATGACGCATGGTCTTGAATGAACCAGGTGAGATAACCTCTTTTGTCAAAGGTCTCAAAGTTTAAGGGACACTTAGTCCTCTCCTTGGGACCACTGACTCTGCGGTAGCAATCAGTTCATCGAACGACGTTTCATTGACTCGCAATGTTTCACTGACAGCTCAGATAAGCTTTTTTCTGTGATAAGCTACACGAGACTGTCGCCGCGAAGAGGCGAATACGAGTCGGTCAGTTGGATCCACATTTTTTGTAATGAGCCGCTGCATACTGTCGCCGTGAAGCGGCGTGAACGCAGGCGGGGGGAAGGGGGGGTTAACACAGTGCAGTGATGCACGTGCGAGAGAATGTCCCTACAGTGTGCAATTCACGTAACAAGTGTCGATGAAACTATCCTGTCGACGAAACGAGCGTCCATGAAAAGTTGTCCACGAAAAGAGTTTTCACGAAATTATAGCCCTTGACTCGTTGCACCCAATTCTGTGCAAGTTTTCCCAAATTGGAAAATCCCTGAATGCAAAAGAACATCGTCAGTGCCCTTCTCTCATCTCTCATGTAACGATTCCAGGTTGAAACTCTTTCAAAGAACCAACGCATAACCTGGGGACGTCTTGGTCACGTTAGAACTGGAATCCCTATCATTTCGTCGAAACTTGTTCCGTGGAATTACGTTTCGTGGACAACTTTTCATGGACATGCGTTACGTCGGCACAATCGTTTCGGCACTTGTTACCCTAACTGTATGCCTGCGTTCACGCTGCTTTGCGGCGACATTTGCGGCGGCTCATTACAAAATTGTTAACTCACTTGACCGGCCCGTCTCGTGCAGCTTATGCAGCTTATCTCAAGGCAGTCCCTTGCAGCTTATCACAGAATAAAGCTAATCTGAGCTGTCGATGGAACAATCTGTTAATGAAACATCGTTCGATGAACTGATTGCCACCGTTGGAACTGTCCTATCCTTTTTTGGAGGGTGCAACGGACCTCGAGACTAGGGAAAGCACTTCCCCGCTGAACCGGCGAAGTCCATAAACCCCACGAGAATGAAACGGTACCTACGAGGGTAGTCCGGAACGGCAGAGAACCGCTCGCAGGAGCAGACAAACGATTTGGGAAAATATATCTTTAATAAACGGCGTCTGGGGGTCAGATGAGCGTGGGCCTCTGTGGCAGGCACAAGTTGTAGAAAGAGTTCTGGTCCCAGAAGGAGGCTGCCTTCCAGCCGCACCAGCCCTGCAACACGGGGGAATGAGCTTTTTTTTAAAAAGAAATGTTTAGTTTCTGGTCAAATGGCAAATATTAGGTCAACAAAATAGACCTCGACAGCACTTCGCCTGTGAAGTTGCATCTGCCCCTGATACTGCAGTCGTCTGAACTTGCAGGAAATGTTTTCTCCACCCTTAGGAAACGTTAAAACAATCTGCAATGGAGCAAAAACGATGCTCCTTGACACACTATCTAGAGATTAAGAAGTTGCACTTTCGAATCGCAACAGACTGGTACTCCCAAAAATCCCTACACTCAACACAGCACACGTTGCGCTAGGCCATGGAGAGGAGTGGCATGCTTTCGGTTGCCCCGTTAACCGAGTAGCACATCTCGGCACTGCTCAAAAATAATGTCGGCGTCGACTTTACTTTTGGCTCTTGTTGAGATGCAGACCTTCAGCGTCCATAAGGACCTGCCCAAGCTTATCGAAGAGTAGAAGTACGGCCAGCCGCATCCCGTACCTTTCTGGCGGCCTGGCCACCATTCCAGAGTGCAGCACGACCTTACCGGCTCGCAAATCATTTAAGAAGCCTAGAGACATTGAGTAGAGGGAACGGGACGACCGGCCCTGTACACTTCTTTTTAGTGCCATCGTACATAGTCCCACGTTTACCTACGCACAAAATCAGGCCCCCGAAAAATGTTCCCTGGCATCCTATTCGTATTGGTAGGCACCACCTACAGTATTATAAATGTAAGGAAAGTGACACATTCGAAGATGCACGCAACGTGTTTGGTTGCAACGGTATGTCGCGAAGCGGGGTTGGCAAATTGAAACCAAAACGGTGACCAACGGGTTCCAGAGATGCTTTGCACGGCACTACGCCGCTAGGACTGCTTCGATTTTGCAAGAGGCGTGTCAGCAGGAGTTCGGTGGAGCTCCCGCACCGCTTTTCGAGGCAGCCGCGTCGCTCTCGTAATGCCCGCTTTCATGCCACTGCTCTGACGTCGCGCTTCGCCATCTTGCACCAGCTTCTAGTAGAAGCAGCTGACTCGTAGAAAAACCTCGGTTCGCACGACGGGCTTGCACGCTCGATATGTCCTTCGCCTACCTTTGAAATGCTTCAAATGGATACTTGTTGCGACCTGGACACACGCTTGGCGTTTTACGATAGAATTACTGACACCTCGAAAAATTCAGTCTTACGAACAACAACAAAGCGGGGAGAGGCGAGAGAACACACTAGCACCATCTACTGGGTAGTCCTGGATCTACGAATAACTAGACCTTAGGCCCTGCAGTGTTTGCGACGTCAAATCTACGCACCATCTACGTAAAGTGGTCGCACACAACATTGTCAGAATTATTTCGAGGCCGCGGCAGAAGAACGACGCGTAGAAACAGTAAAAGTATATGCGCGGGTCGTAAGCGTTCCGGAACCTGCCTGACATACGGTGCCGGTGCGCTCTCTTACGAGAGAATTAAATGTGCCGGAAAGAACACTCCAATGCAAACGTGTGAAGCGGCCACGCCGGCGATGTTGTCGCCTTGCCTTGTTCTGGATGACTGCCAGGTCCTCCCCTCCGGTGTAGTGGGGGTCCAGGACAAGGTAGTGTGTCTCGCCGGACTTGTCGTTGAACGCCACGCCAAGGATGGTGTGTGCCAGCATGCCGCCACCTGCGGGGAGACACTGGGGGCACTCCGCCGACACACCAGTCGTCTTCCCGCACAAAGCCGGCCGTGTACCACCATGGTCCGCCATTCTCTTTACCGGCTAATGTCTCGGAAAACTTGTTTAAAGTACAGTTACCATATTTACGCGACTGTAGACATTTTAATTATTTTCCTTAGTGAAGAAAGCCTGAACCGTGGGGGTCGACCTACAATTCGGAGAGTAATTCGTCTGCTTCTTGTGCAGGCGTTGCGGTGATGTCACAACTCAGAGTTCTGATTGGCTTTGATTGGAAGGATAGTGGATAGACCTTAATGCTAGATGCCTCAAGGTCTACCCACTATTTTTTTGCGATCGACCAATAATAGCTCGGCATTCTGACATCATTGCAACCCCAATGCAAGAAGCAGACGAACTTGTGCTCCGCATAGTGTTGACTTCCAATCGCCAAATGTGGCGTCTACCGGGTGCGCAGTTGTTTCGATCGTCCGGAAGCAATGTCATTTATTAATAATATTATGTTCGGCTTTTGAGCACTTTTTTTTTAACTTTTGCGGGCGATTTCTGAGACATCCAAACACCACTCCATCTCAAACAAAAGTGGTAGTGTATTTTATTTCGTGACTCAAAAAACGTTGTAACTGAAGTCGCAAAATACTAGACCTAGAGTTTACGAAGAACTACTGTGCCAGATTTATATCCACCATTTCCCCAAAAAGTACATGCACAGGATGCGCCACAATGCGGTCGATTTCTTTGCAGGTTTGATTCCCAGTGCTAAGCTCAAAAACTGAAATGACCCGTACAACGAATCTTTTCATCTGTCCTGCAGAGTTTAACGTAAAGGTATCACACAGTAAAACAAAAGGCGGCAAACTTAAGAAAATGCCGCGTTGTCTGCTATAGAAGCTCGCTCACCGATCATGATTGGTGTTCCGTGATTTTCAAAGTGGGCCAGCAACTCCCGGCTCTTGGTGGGCAGTTCCGATCCCGAGCTCACAAACATGGTCCGAGACTCCACCTGGGAGGACAAAACTTTCTTCATGATACAACGGTCTTTCAATAACCCCCTATCTCAAGTTTATTGTTTTTGCGGTATTCAACTTCGCCGAAATGTCGGTAAAAAGGTTCAATACCACCAGTGCAATTTTAAAATAAAAGCGTCCGTGCCACAAATTCAATTGAGCCCGTTTGAGTTGTCAGAGGGTCTCAGTATATTTACTGGGACAGCGTCTCTACAGAGTCATTCCAAATTTTACCCTATTATTTCTACTTGAGGAACGTGCTTTCGAGAACATCTCATCATTGCGGTCAGAGCAATACACTTAATCGTTAAAAAGTGTGCAAAAATGTTTCGTTGAGCAATTCGCTGAGCAGACGTTTCTAACTAATGCCTACTCTCATTTATGGCAATTTGTGCAAGACATCTTCAAGTTTTCTTTAGAAAATCGGGGTTGGTTTACTCACTCCTACTCGAGCTCGCCCTATGTGGAGCGCAATTTTTTGTCTGCTTCTTTTGCAGGGGGTGTGGTGACATCAGAACACTGAGCTCTGATTGGCTCTGGTTGAAGGATAGTGGGTAGACCTCAAAGGGGCACCGACACCCCAAAGGTCGTATTTTTTTTTAATGTCTAAAACGATGCAAGTTGCAGTCAGACATGCAGAAAAAAACATATTTTCTTTTTGGCGCCCTTTTCTTCTGCTCCTCACCTCCTCGCTTCTTTTGATTTGCGACAACAAATATCATGAAATTTGGAAGCTTTGTAGGCGACATTTCTATAACACTTAATAACGGCAATCGTAAAACATGTTTTTTTAATGCAATTGCGAACGCACTACGGCCCCTCTTTTTGAAATACCAAAAATTGGAGTTTGGTGTGATGTCGCTTCCTGGACTTGTATCCTCCCTCGAAAAACATGGCGGCACTCGACGCATGTAGCAGAGGATGATCGGTGAGAAGGGGAATCGGACGAAGTGGTCTTTTTTAGGTGCCCGACGACCTCTTAGACTTCGAAAAGGAAATCATCAAACGGTCAAAACAACTGGGTTTGGTGTCTGCGTATCGTAGTTTCGGTTGCGACTCCGCCGGGGCAGCCTTTCACGCAGAACCAGCGAAACGTAAAGCGTCGTCTGCTCGCAGCGATAGGCAGCACAGCACGCATGGAGGAAACCGTTTTTTTGTGCCCTTCTCTCCCGCCTCCTCACCTCCTCGCTTCGGGTCACGGCGGCAACGGCGGTTCAGAGCAGAGGCACGAAATAAACTCGACTCACTGCACTGGCGCGGATCGCCCGAGAACTTCAAATTCGGCATTTCGAAATTGTATTTTACTTCACAAATGCTGAATCCCCAAGTTTCAAATTTTGAGGGTAATGTCCAGGCATCGTTTTCAATCGTCTACCCACTATCCTTCATTCAGAACGAATCACAGCTCGTTGTTCTGACATCACCACAACCCCTGCAAAAGGAAGCAGACAAACTTGTGCTCCGCATAGAAATGAGCGTTTCAAAATGACGGGAAACACATTGTCACCGAACACGTCTTTCACTTGGTCCTCAGAATTTCGCTTCCAATTCTTTCTTTTTTTAAGGCCCCATCTTCTGACAGAAGTCCTTCATCGTTAACCTTTTTGGGGTCATGCGACCTCTCACCTCATTGTCTCATAGGATCGCATTATTTTACGCTAAAAATTGTACAATCACTTGGTGGTCGTAAAATAAACCAGTGTTCAACGCAAGAGATAATTTATTGCAGATATAAATGAAAACGTTTTCAGTCAAATCTTAAAACTGCTGGCACAACTTTCGCCAAAAGCAGTGTTCTACAAAGATGATGTTGGGGTTCCTTTTTCAGTGCCCTAGTCAACAGCACTCCTAGATATGCCACGAATTCAACCAGCATGATGTCCTGCCAGATTCGCAGAGGCACTGCTTTTCTCGTGCATATAGCAATTGGTTTTGTTTACGATCTCCATCATCAGATGGCAGTGAAGACTGGCTAAAGTGCTGCATCCTGGATTGAAGAAAGAGAAGTTTCAAAATCGCGGTCCTCAAGCTCCAAGCAATAGCTATGTCCACACAGCTCTCATTTTCGGAGCTATCGGATTAAGTATATGTGGATTTGCCGCAGAAACTTTTGGAGCACCGTTCAGGGTTGCTGGTGTCTTCCCAGCTAAAATCACTGTCACCCGAATCGCAAACATCTGTTCCGCAAAAGGAAGAAAGAAAGAAACTGCAATGATAAATGACGCTTGAAAGTGAAAAAATAGTCATCTTTTACACCATCTTGCATAGGGTTAAAAAATAAAGGAATCGTGCCAACCCTTCCGATGAGAGATGGCACAAGTTAAAATTTTTGCCGCACCCGCAAGAATTGACTGCAAAGCAGGTATGAGACTTCTGAGGAGCCCCAACACCTGAACACAATTGGGTTAAATTTCTTCTGTCGGGTGACATCCAACGCATAACTCCAAAGGGTTCAAATAAAGTAGTATATTATACCAATGAGGGCCCGAGATGCTTCCAAAACAAATATAATCCAGATGAAAATACTGTGCAAAGAAACCAGTATACCACTTCGAATTGCTGTACCAATAAGACGTAAAGGTTTCAAAATCAAACCAAATGGCACTGCTACAGTATATATCATGGTATTGTGGCTGAAAGTATGAATTGAACCATTACTCGCTCAGAACTCTAGAAACTTACGGTACAGCTTCCTCTCAACTGATGCTAAGGCTAATTTAACTTTTCAGCTAGAAAGTTTTTTCTACTAATTCTGCACCGTCCAAGGTTAATACCCACTTGGAACAAACTACTTACCTGTTATGAGAAGTGCGTTTGCGAAATCGTTAAAATGCAATTACTACAATAAGTATGCAGACTTCACAAAACATTGAAAACAAATTAATTAAAAGTTTCGCCTTCCGCGTGAGAGGCATGTGCACAGCAAACGTGAGGCTCCATTTCAATACAGGGCTGTTAATCTCGAATGACTGTACAGGCTTCGGGAAGGGGTCCATGGTTTTCGGTTGACACATCCCAGCAGATGAACCGGTACTCCAAAAGCTTCCGTGGTCCCCACCTCTCCTCCCTCACCAACGTGTGCGAGCCTTTGCACATTGCTACGTATGGCCCCGGGCAAGGGTCCACCGATGCCGCCCAATAGAAAGGGGACCCGCTGCCAGTGGATTGATGGAGGGACTCGTCAAATACGGACAGGAGCTGGTCTTTGCCGAGGAGGTCCCGTTCAGGATGGCCTTCCACCTTTAAGACCGGATTAGTGGCCCGTTCTTCAGTCCAGACGTCCCCAATCTCAGACATTGCTGGACATTGCCAGCGACCGGACGACGCCGTGACGTCGACGTCCACCTCGGTCAACCGCTCCTTGGGTCGACGGCAGTTTGTCTGCATCGTCATCGGCTTGACTGCCAATGCCAGGAAAAGTGAACCAAGATGCAGCGGGCTGCATTGTCGCGGGCTCTCTCGAACTACTGCACATTGTGCAAATAAACAGTTCATTCGAGAGAGACAAGGCTCCCTCATAGTTTCCGTTGGATCTCAGCCCGGTACCTGGACAGAGCCGCCCCTCTACCGGAACAAACACTGCTCGATCCCAACATGCGCAAGCCTTTGTGCATAACCTGAATTTTGCCTTTGAGTTCTGTCAGCTGAGCCGCCGAATCAAGCTGAGACTTACCAAGACTATGATCGATGCCAACATAGAACCGCTAGCTTACACCCAAACCGACTGGTAAAGTCGTCAGAAAGCTTGACTAGAATGAGTGCAGATGACTTCTCTGGACGGGTAGTTCACCAAAGTGACCCACACGGTGGTGGTGTTGGCACGAGCGCATAAATTCCAGTCGAAACACAACCTTTCGCTGCAATTCCGCAAAGCAGGCTTAGGTTCACTGGTTTCGGTAGGGCTGGATGGATAAGTGGACGTCAAATAGACGGCCGTATCCTTTATGTTGCACCGCCTAGCCTTGAAACAAAAAAGCAAAATCCCTCCCTTTGCCCTTCTAAGCCAATTTATCCTTCCCCTCTACATTTTCGGAACCATCACAAGCACTGTGGGACATATACGCCAGGATGTACACAGGCCTTGGAAAAAGCTCCGGGTTTGCCCGACCTGGAGTAGCTTGTTGAGGCAGTAGCCCACTTCCTGGGAGCCAATCCACTGCCGAGAGCCCACAAACGACGCTGGCTTGTCACCCACGTCAACCAGTGCCTGAAACAGTAGAAAAAATTCGCCTGGCTTAGACATTCCGTCAAACATGATGCAGGTGCGACAGCTTACGGTGGGGTTTTGAATGAGCTGTGCTTGCTATCTAAATGATACGCAACGTGACATGCAGTGAAGGAATTGTGAACACATAAAGGACTTAATTCCATTGATGCACCTCTTAGGCGGCATTGCATCGTATTCACTGAAATGCTGCGCCACACATGCAATCCGACAGTGAAATGCCTCTATGCCTAAGAGATTATTCTATTAACAGTCTAACATCGTGGAAGCAAGGCGTCACCATAACAAGCAAGGCCAGGTAGCGAGTTTTGCTCAAGCGTGTAGCTTTTCTTGTGAAACCCAACCCTAAAACACAATCTATGTAAAAAAATAAAAAAAGGCTTCAAAACGAAGTCCAGGATCGTAAAGGGTTTCACACCCCAAAGGAAAACACTATACAGCTCGTCTCCCCCCACAAAGGAGCACAGCGAAGGCTACAGGCTGCTAGCCCCAGTAATGAACAAATTACAAACATGCATGTCAGTGTGCGTGCCGCAGAACCCCGATACGCACACTGATGCGATACACCACGTTGTTTGTAGCCCGTGATTGGATGTTACGAACCGTAGCTTCGGCCATGGTCCGTTGTAGAGGGAGATGATTTTATTGTCGTCACGATTTATTGAAACTCAAGGCATTACGGGCATTTCACAAGAGGTTCAAGAGAAGCAGGGCATGCTGATATAAAACAATTCATGTGCTGTCTTAATCCTAGGGATTAATGTCGTAATCCTAGGGATTAAGTCGCGATGCACAGGATGTGCAGCGTGTTTGGAGCTTAATAATTTATTCAGTTTTGAAAGGTGACGCATAATAATATGCCAATTCTTCGCTTTACGGCTTCGGTGTAAAATTTCTTGCTAGAATGTGCTCATACAAAATATTAGTGTCGATTACCGAAAGAATAGGTGGGAGACTATACCCAAAGAGGGTTTGATCTGGCTTGCAGCTGGCATTCGTCCTGCCTGCACACCTTACGAACGACCGCTCGCTACAATGGCCCTGGTGGTAAAACCACGAGCCGATAGCACCGATCGGTCACTCAATGCGTAACAATTAGTACCGACAATGGGCTCGTTCGATTTACCCGACCTCCTGCACCAGCTGCAATCGGTACGCACCGCTGCATTCGATTTACAAGTGCAGCCTATCCGAAAACAGAACCGGAAGAACCTTGCCCTGCACTTTTCTGCACCGCGCTACACCTTTTTGCATAGAAGCAGGCAGATGTAGGCTGGTGCAGGCACATCGAACGAGCCCATTGTTTGCAAGGTATGTAAGCTCATGCAGTGCTTAGACAAATCAATGGTGAGACCAGGAGGAGTTCCTCGGCTGCCATTGAAGGCACACGGGAGTTCCTTGAGGTCAAAAGGTTTGAGAACCCCAGGGGCCTCCAACTCGTCAAACAGGAAGTTGGAGCCAAAAGTTGAGAGTGCACCCATTGGACTTCAGTGACAAAAGTGCAGCGTCATCGTTGTGAGAGTCCAGTTGGCGCACTCCGTAAACTTGGGGCCCCAAGGTTTGACGAGTCTAGGGCTCCTGCTCCAAGCGTCGGCTGCCGGTCGTCTACGGCTCGGCAGCGCAAGCCACTTTTGGGCGGTGCCTCACCTGCTGGATCTCGCGGTGCGTGGGCACGGGGCAGTCCGTGTACCCTTGCAGCCGGAACCAGGACACGATGGTCTGCAGGGACCGGTAGGCGCAGCCCCAGCCGTTGTCGTCCATCCGGTCCTGCAGGTAGTGCCGGTACGCATACTGGCCACGCACAAGGCGCACCTCCGTGCCTGCAAGGAGGAAACGCACCGTTGAGGGCTCTCCAAACAAGCCACAACAAATGACCCTCCCCCTTCAAAAAAAAAATAGAAAGTATGCACGCTTTTTGAAGAACGTTAAATTTCCGGCACGCGCTTACATTCTCAGTTGGGACATCAACCATGTAAGCAGCGTGGTTTTCCTCTTCACCACCTGCCGTCGTCGCTCTAGTTTTCAGGAGATTGGGACCGACGACAACGGTGGAGCTCTCGATGACAGCCAGTGGAGCGTGCGAGTAGCTCTCCGGGCCCACGTGACGAGCACACTCCGAGCCACAATCCAAGGATGGAAGCGAAGGGTAGCTCTCCCCACGCAAAAAATAATGCCTCAAAGCAAACCGGAGGAAAACCTCCACTTCCAGTACAGCAAATCCAGTGTATAGCATGTGCTGTGTCCCGTTTGGAGGGCGCTTTGGATGATGGGCCCACCACCTTTGCAGCCCGCCACCTTCGCAGCACCGCAATTTCGAGAATCGAAATTGCAATGCTGCCCCCCTTCTTTCCCCCCCCCCCCCCCCCCCCCCCAATCCTCTACCACTTCCTATACAAATTTGAATGACACCACTATGTTGCGTGACAGTGCGATGCCGCACTGCAACTACCCTGCAAAATTTAGTGGAGGAACAAATGCCACGTGACACTACGACGTTGCGCGACACGCGGTCAGACCGACGCGAGCGAGAAAGCCAAATGGAGGGATCCCGTACGAAGCTTTAAAACACTACGCTTTTTGTGCAGCCGGCAAAATCGGATGCCTTCGGCAGTATCGACGCGTCCGGAGACTCCGGAGCGGGTGAGGCCAATATCGCCTAGAAGACAAGGCCCATACACAACGTCATCGTCAGTGAATCCCTGACCCCCCCCCAAGCGGCAAACACGCCCAAACTCGACACCAAGACGGGCACGGTTCAAGGTTTTATTTCTCAATTATGATTGTGCACGTCTCGGTGTCGCGGTCGTTGTGAGACACTGCACGACGCGCTGGCGGCGAGGCTGACGCGAGCTAGGCGGCGCTGCGTGGATACGCTAGTGACGACGATGGGGGGCGAGGGGTGGGGTGGCGAAGGGGGGTGGGGGGGGGCGGGCCTTGTTTTCTAGATGGTATTGGTGAAAGCAAAGTGCGCGCGCGGCGAGCGGGGGATGCCTTACCTCCGGGCGGAGGTGTGAGTCCGACGTGGGTGTTGCGGAGGTACGGCTCGGCGGCCAGGTCTTCGGGAAAGGCGTAGACGTTGGCCCGCCGGAACAGGGGCCGGTCCGCGGGCAGCAGCAGCAGCCGGTGCAGCTCCCGCCGGCACCTCACTGCGACGGGAGCGACGGCGTGAGGAACCGCCGCCTGCGTGACCCTGGGAAGCTTCCCCGGCTGTTTGATGTTCTCTTCACTGCGACCACAAACGGCTTTTGGCCTTAGCAGTGTGTGTAGTATAAAAAGTTAAAAAATAAAAATAAAGCGAAACATTGTAAAAATGAGAAAATGAGCGGAAGTAGGACAGACCAAAGGCATGTCGTTATAGTGCTAATGGGCCTCTTCTAGATGTTACGAGGGAACAATGTAGGTTTAATACCCAACTTGCACGGCCAATACAGCAGGTCCCTTTGCAGTCAGTGAATCGAACCGCACCCTTAGGTAGCGAGCACAAGCCACGTGCGGAAGATGTGAATTGATTCGCCACAGAAAGTAAAGGTCCCTTAGCTAAAGGTACCTTTATGATTGCGTGAATGCGGTGTTAGTTGCTCTTATCACGGTTATAAAGAAGCTGTAAAGGCATCCTCGGGGACGCGACGATGACGTTCTACTGGTAAAGAAGGGAGGAAAACCCGGTATGCTTTTGGTGATTGTAAAATGAAATGTCATTAAGAAGTAAAGGTGCATCAAATTCCAGCCATTACCTACTTTATGCAAACAAATCACGTCTCACATTAGCCTCCTTTTGTGCGGAGGTACGAGACCAAGCGGGTGAAAGGAGTACTGCAACGAAATTCTAGCATCTATTTTGTTCTCTAAGTGTCAACCACGTTCTGGCCACGCCACAAGGACATAAATTTTTTTTGTTTGAAAAAACATTGAAGCTTTATTTAGAACGAATAAACAAATGACCAGATTGCACTTAGTGGATGTTTCTTAATGTCGTAACGTCAAACGTTCCATAAAAGCAGCGCCGCCATGCGAAAGTACTGCACCAATCTCCAAGCGTGCAAAGGCTGGCAAACTTGGCCGCACCGAATTTTTCTTCTCTCTTGCACCTATTTAACTGTTGCGGGGAGCGGGGAGAGGGGAGTTAGAGGCGAAGGAGATTAGTGTCCTTTATGGCACTTAAATAAAGGACACTAATTGAATTAATGTCATATTCATCCTTTCACTTTGTCATTCATTAATTTCATTTCATTAATGTCATATTCATCCCCCCCCCCCCCAAAATCTTCCATTTTGCTGTGACCTCCTCTCCCCCTCCCCCTCACACAGTATTTTGTCATAGGTGCCCCCCCCCCCCCCCCCCCCCCCCCCCCCGAAACAAAATTCTGACTACGCGCCTGTTTCACATGTTGGTAACCAAGTACGGCCGAGTCGAGGAGGAAAGCAGATGCGAGTTTTCGTCTTTTTTTGTGCAAAACTGGAGGCAATAGAATGAAAACAGATTCCCACTCCGGGGTCTATAAACATTGAAGATTAATGTGGGTCATTTGGAAAAGGCTGGAAAATCATTTCATGGTCCCTTTAACCCGCAACAACCTTCCCCTATAACACATTCTATGTCAAGATAAGCTTACGGTGTTTGTGCCAGGCAGCCAAAATTATGGTAAACGCAAGAACCTCTTGGATTAGCTCGTACGGGATACGACGAGGGTCTTCCCTTTAACCGAACGGCCCGAGGCAACGAGAGACAAAAGGGCAGTCACCCAGGTCATCATCCGAGACTCCTCCGGGGTAGACGACGGTCGTCCAGTGGCCGCACTCCGCCGGGAGGAAGTGGAATGCCTCGGGGGCACACGCATGCTCCGCCTGCAGGCAGACGACGCAGAGGCACCTCGTGCAGAGACTTTTTTAATTGCAACCGCCCTCTCGGTCCTGATAGTAGCGCCGTTACCCAGGGTCGCTGACGGCGGGCCGAGGCCGGCAGAGAGGCCCTTGGGTTGTCCCACCTCTGGCAGCCTACCTTCAGCAGTGCTTGGGCGTCTCGTGAGCCTAGCATCCCGAGCAGACGCCCTACAGCTCTCGTTTTGTCGCCAACTATAGCTGCTATGCGTCTGAACTGCCGTTCGCACGTACAGTACGGCGCCGAGTGCTACAGATGTAGTGCTGACTTTGTGCTGTATCGGTAGTGTATCAGCGCTCCTCTGTACATACCCTGGCCGTTTCCTGTTTGCACGCACGATGCAGCACTAGGGTAGCACCGGGTCAGCGCCATCACTAGTGTCGATACGGTGCCACCTTTGCGCCACGCAGCATTTGTAAATCAGCCTTAAAACTGCCGTCAATAGTTTTACCGTTCCGAGCCAGTGCGACCTACCATAATATCCCAAGAGATAGCCCACCTAAAATTTATAGCAAATCGGGTGAAAATAAGGAGCGGGCTAACTTTCGGTGTACGATCAATAAAAGTTGGAAAAATACTTTTTTTAGGTTATATCTTCCTGACAAACTCAATGCAGCGAGAGACAATGAAGCAAAGACGACTTAGTTCCCAGTCAGCAATGTTCACTTCAGCAATGTTCTCCAACTGCTGAGCATCACTGAAAACTAGTGAAGCAGTCCATTTCTGGGAGAGTTGGGGCACATGGGTAGCACTGTGGTGCACTAAAGTTATCACTCATTCAACGGGCGCAAAGCTGTGGGTGTGAACACGTGCCCACGCAGTTTTTCTCTTTTTTATCATTTGTGTTTTCGCACCGCCAATTTGTCGTCTGCCGTGCTAGTAGTAACTTTAGTGCACTGCTATGTATGCTTCCCACATGCTCCAAATCTTCCTAAAATTTACCAACTTAGTGGTTTTCAATGACCCTTGGCAAGCTTCTAATTGAAACCATATTTCGTTTAATTAATTTTTCTCACGGGGCCCAAGGGCACTACAGAGAGAGTGGGCACTATAACATAAACATAAAAGTATATAAAAAAAGATATCAAAAGGCAAAAATACAAAATTAGTACGAAACACCATTTAACAAATTAATAATTGCAATTCTAAAATCAATGGTGTTGGTAAGGCGGGAAGACGATAATCAATGGAAGTTTGGGGTAAGAAGGAGGCATATGTGCTGCAATGGGGGATTCTAACCTTTAGTTGATGATTAGTACATGATGATACGTAAGATGGTTCTGGAAATGGTGCTTGGCGAAGTGTTGAATTAGAGCGATCAATTTTGTGACACAAACATAGGCGAGTAATATTTTTTTTTCTCACTCCTTAAGAAGCTAATCAACAAATTTTTGTCAATTATTTTATTATTGTAACGATCTGCTCCCTATCTTGCCGCGCGCAGCTGGCCAAGTAGGCAGCGCGGCCGTAGCCTAATGGTTATCGTGCTTGCCTCCCGCGCGAAGAGCCAGGGTTCGATTCCTGGAAACGACGAGTCTTTTATTTATTCTTTCAAGTTCGAGAACTTTCTCGTCTGATTGAGTTCAGAATGTTCTACGAACCAAAAGTTCTACGCCGAATGTTCCAGAAATCCACGAAGGTACATAAGGGACTCCACACGGCGAGCGGAATCCTTTATGTACCCCCGTGGGTTTCTGAAACATTCGGCGTAGAACTTTCGCTTGCAAATGCTGTACATGCTCCCGCTAGATAATTAACAAAAAACCTGCGATTTCACCTATTTTTTATACTATTCCTTTGGAAACAAAACCTGACCACTGGGAAACATCTTTTGGGAAAAAAGCTCGACCGTCAAAGGGTTAAACACTATTTTAGCGGATGTGAGCCACTCATTGATGCAAACAGTCTTTAGCGTAAGCATTATAGTTTGCAAGGTCGACAAGCTTCTGCGCCGCCGTACTGCGTCAGTGCCGGGAGGGATTTCCCTGCTGCCATTCGAGGGAGATAAAAATGTTTTAGGTCACCAGTTGATTCACAACGAGGCTTACAGACAGGTTCCCGTTGCTCCCGAGACCCACGCGGCCCCGGGGACGGAACGTAGGGCTCACCCTTGAGAAGCGGGCGATGCAGCAGGCCATCTGGTCCAGCTGGTTGGCCAGCTGCCGAGCCAGCAGGTCCACCACCCCGGCCGGGGGCTCGTCTAGCCCCACCGCACACACCACGTCCAGGGGCAACACCACCGACGCGCTGCGGAACACCTCTGTGGGGGAGAGAGGCTTGCTCGGGGCCGTCCTCCTCTCACGTGCCCGCAAGTCGTGCAGAAAAACCGGGAGTCCCACTTTGGTCACCGCAAGAGCGAGGTCTCGTAGGTGGTTCGCCTGCTACGGGGCGTCGCTCGCAGACAGAAATAAAACGGGCAAACACCGTATGTTGTCTGCTAACGAACCAAAAAACGGCTGGTTGTCTGCTACGAACCAAGCACCGCGGCGAAGTGAGATCAAACGCGGCCTGACATTATGATCGTCTGCCATTTCACAATGAAAGCCATTAACAGCTCGCGCTTTGTTTGCAAACCTTGGGTTGTTCTGCTGCCGTGTGCAAGCTGACATTGACCGGTGGATGGAGTACCAAGGAAAAGCACGTCAAAAGCCGTGAGACCTCTCTCGCTATTTATATGTTGGCGAGACGTTCTCACCAAAATTCTGTGTTGGCAACATTGTGAAACATCTGTATATGGGTCATACCATCGAAGCAAACGTCAGTTTCGTTCGACTACTCGTTCGTGTCGCATCTGCTTCTTCCTGGTCGCCCCAGGGGCCAGGATACAATATTGGCGACGAGGAAAAGTTTCACCCTACTATCTTATCGGCGAACACCATGAACTTTGTATTCACTCTGCCACCGGAAAAGGCAAGGAACGACGTGTAACAGACCTTGATGAGCGACTTGAGGGGCGACGCCACAAAGGTGCTGCGCGAGAGGTTAGCCGAGAGGTTATCTGGCACCGAAAAAAACGATTTGTCCGAGCCGTCCCCGACTTCCCCATTGTGTGCGCCCCCTTTCAACACCCTCGGCGCAGCTGCCACGTGCCGCCATATTGAGAATAGCGAGAAAAAGCTAAGAGACATCCCATGTTTCCTCATTAACGCTTCCAGTCTCCGATTTCTATTTCTCGAAGTCAGCAGCATAGTGCCTCTACAATCGTCGTAATAATTACGACGATTGTAGAGAATTACGACGAATAATAATTTTTACAGACACGCAACTCTTCAAGTTTTCGGGAATGCGTTCGCCAATCTCGTGACCGAAAAAAAAAAAAAAGTGTGGAGGAGCTCAATTTGGGGGAGAAAGACACAAACTTGGCACAACAAAAGTTCTTTCTCGCAATGATTTTTTTTGCTTTGTGTTTTGCCACCGTTTTCTGAAGTGCTTCAGACGGTAAAGAGAATATTGATCTTGGGGTTGTCAGTGGCCCCTAACTATAAATGCTACTGACATTTCTGGGCAAACTCTCCCAGAGAAAACAACCCTTGAAGAGGACAACTTTGACTTGTGGCAATCCGTCAAAGGGCAACTCCACCGATTTTCCAAACCATTAAAAGCAATGGTATTATTTCCCTAAAGCCAGCGGCTTTCCCTGGCTGGGATGCTAGTTTGTACTCTAAAATGTGCCGTAATTAGAAAACAAAAGACTGTGCCACCCGTTTTCGGTTTCCGTGCCGTGCTAAGAAAATTAGGGTGCACAATGAAACCATTCTCATAATTTTAACAACACTATAAACAATGTTATCAGACATTGCAATTATTTTGCCGATAAGTAGAAATGAGTTATTGATGTAGTGTCAACTAGAAAGTTTAATAGCTTAGAGTTTTCAGAAACCACTGTCTCCTTGCAGTTTCTAATGTTTAAGATTCCCCTTTCCCTCCCTCCCTCCCTCCTCCCTCCTCCTCCTCCTCCTTTTCTTCCTCCTCCTCCTCCTCCTCCTTTTCTTCCTCCTCCTCCTCCTTCAAAAAAAAAATATTCCAATCCAAGTTCTAAATTAAAAAACAGCAGGGCAAAGCTTTCTGCTGTGACGAAATATGAATGCTGAGGAGACAGAAAAGACTTTTCCAATGTACACGCTCGTGAACAGCGTGGATCTTCGAATCGACGTAATTAAATGGATGTGCATTTTCTGAGCGTAGTAAATAGAAAATGTGTTGTTTGTGACTTACAGATAAAAAAAAAAATGCCTTAAAAATATATATATTTTTTTTAATTATTGCTTTTCAAATTTGACAGGCAAATGTTTAATAGCGCTACTGGTAGAAAGCAGCACGCAAAAACTTTAATCTTGTACCAAACCACTTAGCAAGCGGCGTGAAAAGTTTATCATTGTGGAACAATATAATAATAATAATAATAATAGTTTATTTTCCATGAAAGCATGGTGGAGCAAAGGGTAAAAGCCTCAAAGGAGGCGTGACCACCCCTCGACCCCATACATTGGCATTGCACCAAAAAAAATGTGCACGAGATTACAGATAGGAGTCTGGCTATCAAAAATCTGTAGTCATTCAATGAGGCCATGTTTGGACAAAACGACAAACACAAAGAACTGGCCGAATTTCAAGCAAGGCCCATTTTAATGGTCCTATGTGCCAATTAAAAGACTCATCCTTAATGTTTCGTACATTAGGTACTCAGAAGAAAACCACCCTCATTAAAAACTTTGGCTAGGTGGCGCAAGTTGCTGCCCAATTCGGAGGGTTCCGCCGTACGCATCCATCCTGCTTCGACCTTGCTCCGGGGTATCTTTGTAAAAGGGCCGTACACTCACTCCTCTGGTAGTGGATGACCGGGGTGCAGCTCAAGCCGCAGCTCTCCACAGCGGCGTCTCCCGTAGACTGGACCAGGACTGCCAAGTTGAGGACGTCCTGCAGCGGTCGACAACGCGGGCCTTCACTCTGTGCCATAGAGTTAATACCATAATCTAGGGGAAAAGGTCCCACGCGTTCCAGACGCTTCGGAATGGCAGGACATAGACGTGGACACCGATGGTCCCAGCAGGTGTTTCCAAAGGGTCCGTAAAGTGTGGCAATGCCCTAATATGCACGAAGCAAGAAAACATTGCCCGTAAGGTGTGTGCCTAGTTCTTTTCTATAGTCTGTAACCCCCACTTCAGCGTTCACTCTGCTGAAGTGGAAAGAGGTGGGAGGAGCTTCGACTTTACTCTCAGCCCGTCACCGACCATAGCTTACTTTGCAGGAAAATACCGACATCGCGCATAGCATAAAAACAAAGAAAGTTTACGAGCACTCGAACAACTCCAATTCATCGCGGTAAAACGAACCTGCCTAACCTATCGCCTGCTTTCTTTCTGAGCTTTTTCCATAGCTCTTTTTCCTGTTCTTTCTCTAGGAACCATGGAAGTCGGCGCTCTGGGATTTGCCGCGTCATGCTCCCGTCTTTACCCCCCTGCTCGACGCAGACCCGCGAAGAACCCCAGACGCCGACACAAACAAAGCCTACCCTTTACCACCCGTTCCTGTACCCGTGCCTCGATGGGAACTGCACCCAGCTGTCCTTTTCTGCCGCTCAGCGACTAGGTCGTATCGTGGTGACCGCTGTCATAGTCGGGCGCCATTAAGGCCTGTTCACACAGACATCACAATGCCACCTCGGCGCTATTATATATAGACAGAACTGGAGATGGCACCGACCTTGCAGATGCAGTGCCCACTTTGAGCTATATTAGTGATCATACCTTGGAATTCCTCACTCATCAGTGTAATCACTCACACTCACTCACAGTCATCACCAGATATGAGGTGACAGTGAGTGAGGCCGAGAGTCCCGGAAAATTGTGAGTGTGAGCGTGAGTTCAGAAAACTTGTGAATGTGTGTGTGAGTGTGAGTTCTGAGAACTCATAAATGTGTGAGTGCGAGTTTTGAGAAGTCATGAGTGTGTGTTAGTGTGTCTTCTGAGAACTCACGAGTGCAAGTGTGTGATGACTGTGAGCGCTGGAATTTGCTTGAACAAGTGAATTAGCTTGCCGCTTTACAGCAGACAAGGAGGTAAGGACTAACGCCGTTTTGCTGTATGAAGTGTGAAGAAGGCGCGGCGGCGCCAAAGCTGGGGAACCGATCCTCTTATGCGGCAATAGACACTTTTCAGAACTCCGTCAAGCAACACTGGCAGTCGCCATTGCTTGGACATGAAGCATGTGATTATATCTGAGGGGGAGAATTCGCACTGCCTTCACTACTTGCGCCATCTAGGAACAGCAACAACAAACAGCGTACCCCTACAACTCGCTCTCCCCTTTTATGCAGCTTTGAACGTTTCATTTCCACTGTTGTTCATCTTCCTCTCTCTCTCTTTCCCACTCTCCAGTGTCCAGGAGCGCATTTCAATGGCCAAGGCTACAGCCTCGCAATTCTGGCCATACTTCGTTTCACCGTAAGTGAGAGCGCAGCCAACAATTGGCCCCATTGGCCAATGGGGCCAAATGAGCAGCGCCGAAAGCAAAATGTCACGCCGTTCGTCCTCTTTCCGGGCAGGTCCTAGCAACAGGCTAAACCAAACGGGCTCGGTGCATGTGCTTAGTCTGTGCACCTGCGTCTGTATGTCTTCCACTGGGAGTAGCCATAAAGACTAGCACATTTGGCATGCCTTACAAAATTTGAATACTAAATCTACGTACGGCATCTGAAACCGGGGGTGCAAATGTCGTTTCGCAACACGCTTCATGTCTATTCTTTTCTTTTTTAGAGCTCCACCCAGAGGTGGAGAAATGTAAAAAATAAAGCAAAAACGGTGACCATACTTTTCTTATGTCCTTGGCCAGGCTGTTCGCAGTCTCCACACGGATAGCTCGCTTCCGAGGGGCTTACTGGACGCAAAAACACCAAGAATGTCATAGCGGAGGTTGGTGACGAGCGGGATTGGGTACTAATTTTAACTAAATATATGACGACGGCCATCTTGGAGCAAGCATGCAAAACCAGTCTGCAGACGACGAACACCCGATATGGGACATAGGAAATTCATGGCCGCAGTTTATGCTCTATTTTTGATATCTCACCACCTCCGAGTTGAATGCTGAAATAAATAGACACAAAACTTCTTGCAAAATAAAGTTTGTGTGCTTAATTTCAGGTATGTATGTCTACAATTTAAATTTTTGCGAGGCCTGTGACTGTAAACATGCTGGTCCTTAAGGCCATTCTCCATAGCCTTTCGATGCACTTTTTTTTCCCATGTGGTGCAACAAGGTAGAGACACGTACGGAGCCGATCCGTACCATAGTTTCTGCCCTCCAAGTCCAACTCCCAATGCCCCACCTGCGCCTCCTTAGAGCGCCTGCGTCTGCCTCCCCCATCCCCAGACTGGTCCACCAGGTCCTGGAGCGTGCTCTCCGGGGAGCTGTGACGGAGCAGGCTGCCACAGCCCTCCAGCTTGAGGGCCAGGACCTCGGGCCGCAGTCGCTCCTTCAGCCGCTTGCACGCCACCTCCACATTCTCCCGCAGGTACTCTGCAAGGGGGTCGGCACGCCCACCGTTAACAAGCGGGGGTCCCACTTCGGTCAAGGTGACAGCGAGATCATTCTCGGCTCTCGTTCTCACCTTGCAAAAGCAAGACGAGCGTTGGGAACACTGGGAACAGACCAAAATGAAGAGCATTAAAAGAATTGCTAGGCAATGCGGAGAGCAAGTTTGTCTGCTTCTTTTGCAGGGGTAGTGGTCACGTTAGAACACCGAGCCCTGATTACCTCCAATTAGAGGATAGTGGGTAGACCTCAAGGCAGCTTGCTTTGAGGTCTACCCACTACCCTTTAATCGGAGCTCGGTGTTCTGAAATCACCACAACCCCTGTAAAAGTAGCAGACAAACTTGCGCTCCACATTCTGTCACATACGTGAAACGTTCTAGCATCACAAATGTTTGTATCATCGTTTAGCAGCTAGTCTTTCATTAGATAATTTAACGCGTGGAATGCACAAGCTTCAAATGGTAAACCTAGTGACCTTCCAAAACCTTCTAACCCACTCCTACTCTCCCGTCTTGCCTCCTCACCTACCTCCCCTCCTAGCTCCACCCGGGGTCACATGAACTCCCCATCAACCAATCAGCATCGAGCACGTCACTCCCTCTCTCCCACCTGTCAAGCGTGTCTCCGGCACCGCGATAAACGCGCCGGCCGGAGACATGCTCCGGACGTTGTACTAACACTCACTGGGGTCGCTGTTCATCTCAAAGGGCAGGAGGAGGCTGGCCCGCGCACGCAGGGTCACGGTCCCCTGTCCGAGGTCCCTGAGCACCGAGACGGAGCGTGGCTCGCAGGGGGGCTCCATCTCCAGGGATACAGTGCGGGTGAAGACTGCCGTCGGGTTGGCTGCGCTCGTGTACACCAGCACCGCGCTCTCCGCAGAGCCCAGCTTGCCCGCCTGCACGGAGCACGGTGGGCCTCGTCGGACTCGGTCGCAAAACTTGAGGGCGGTCGACGGAGAAATCGATTAACGATGCCCGGGCCGCGGACTACGCTTTGCGCCCGTAATGGCTGCCGTGTGATATGCGTATAGCGTGCTGCGCGACGAGACTGCTTTCCTATGAGGAAGACACGAGCAGCCGTTTACAGCAAACCTGACCGGGTGCGTGCTTTGTGCTCGAAAATGCGAAAGATAAGATTGTTGTCCGCATTTTCGCATCGCTACACTTGCGCCTGCTGAACGAGCGGCAACTTTAGCACAGCATTACACTTCCCACATGCTTAGAGTCCTCCTGGAATTGACTTGACTTAGGGGTTTTCCATGACGCTCGGCAAGTTTCTAATTGGAACCATATGTTTATTGTCCCTAATTAGAAAAAATGAATAAGTCTATTTTAGGTGACTATTCTGCTAATTACTGTAAAATACCGCAGAAGCGCCCACTTCATTCAAGCACCCACTATTAACACTTCCCAAGCTTGGGAACAAGCACCCCTGTCTAGATTAACCTAGTTTTGAGTAAAAGTAGGGTGTGCTCTCCCCCAGTATACACCTTTCCAAAAAACGCTCCTAGGCCGCCGCCATGTTGCTGATGCTGATGCGGCTGGTGCGTCTCTCGCGCCCTCTATCAGCTAGAAATTTTCTGCCACTCTCTGGGACTGTGAAGACCCGCTCAGCGCGGTTCCCTACCTACATTTTTGCGGTTTTGCATTCGACGTTTTCTCGCCCCTTTTGAAAGTTTCCACTTAATTTTTTTTTTATGCGTGCTGCGTACCCTTTTTGTGTTATCTTCTATTGTGAGAAATAAGGCTGGTAAGTGCCTGCCATTCAAGCTTTTCTGCTCGACATTCACGGGAAGCGAAGGAGGTGAAAGACGTCGAACGACCCTCGACGCAATTTTGCGAACATTGTTCTCCCCCCTCCCAGAGATAATCCGCGTAGAATCCTCAGTCATCTCCAAAAATAGTTGTCCGGGTTGGGGTGAGAAACGGGTCAGTCGCGTTTGTTTCTTTGCCTTGGTGCGGTTGTGAAAAAAGGGCTCTCCCCAAAACGTGCCCCAAAACGAAGTCGTCTCGGATTCCGTCCGATCGCCAAGATGTGACTCTCGTCGACTGTGCCTGTGTTATTTGAGATCTTTCTCAAATAAATTCTTTTTGGATAACGCTGCATCGTGTGGTTTGTACGATATATTGTTCGAATGTTAACGCTTCCTCAATTGTATGTCCGTGTCCTGTCCATCGGTAAACACGTTATTTGTGAGCGTGAAAAATGCATGCTTTTCGGTCCTCTTCTGTTGCAATTTATTTTTGTCAGCAAAGCGCTTTGTCGTTTCACATGCGGCAAATCCCGCGGCGCCGTCAAAACATATCCTGAGAAAAAAATAAATAAATAACTACCAGTCGTATTCGTTCTGTCGCGCGCGTATCCAACAAAAATAGTTTTTTTTTTTTTTTTTTTTTTTTTAATGTGGCACAATTTTTTTCTAATGTCCTCGGGAAAATACATGTACCATGAAACACAAAATATAGCGGGAAAAGACGAGAGTTTAGCCGCCAGCAGCGTTTGAAACGAATCCCGGACAAAAGCTCGCCGGAAAAAAGCTCACCGGAAAAAAGCTCACCGGACAAAAGCTCACCCATTTTTTCACAGACCCGGACAAAAGCTCACCAGGAGAAAATTTCATGTTGGTCTTAACACGTGTGCGGATAACTTAGGTGCATGCCTACGACACTAAAATACAACGATAAATTAAATTAAAGAAAACCCATGAATTCGTAATGAAGAGACATTGTGCCTAATCTTTATGTGCGCGTTTAGCGTCACATAAGCGCAATCAAAAAGCGAGGTCAAGAAAGGGTAACTTCGTTTCTTCGGTCACTCTTCGGGTTCAAAAACTTCGGTTCACGAAGTTTCTCGGGCGTGGCACACGGGTGCTCCGACATACCTTGAGTCAAGCAAGCTTGATCTTATCAGCTCCATTCAGTTTCAGTGACCTGAATGTTGGTCACAAATCGTTGCTTCTCTGCCTGTAATGGCTTATCTGTCGACACCTCTGCATGGGATGGGATGCCAGTTCTCATAAAAATGGTGGAATGTCCATCGCGTCCATACTTTATCCCAGCCCATGTGTTCACCCGGGGTAGCAAAAAATGAGGTGAGCTTTTGTCCGGGTCAGTGAAAAAACGGGTGAGCTCTTGTCCGGTGAGCTTTTGTCCGGTGAGCTTCTGTTCGGTGAGCTTTTGTCCGGTTACCTTTGAAACTGCGCCTACGCAGGCTGCACCTATTGAAATCACAGTCCACTCGGTTAGGGTTAGGAGGGACGCCGGTGAGAGACTAGCCTCAAACTCAGTGACTGGGATCGAAAACGGTTTGTTGCTCCTGGGGTCGAGTCTTTTTTGGGAAAGGTGTATTGGTAGTATGTTTTTTGCAATCCCCAATGTGGCTAATAATTTCTTCCCAAAAAGAGTTTTTTTTTTTTTTTTTCCCTCAGAATTTAGGAATTTATGAATCTTTGCAGAAATTGCCTCTTTTGCAAAGAAGTCCAGACAAGAAACAAAGCTAGTCAGTGCGGGTAGGAAGAACTTGCAAAACTTGCAAACGACATTTTGCCACCAGGCTAGGCTTTTTCGTGCCCTAGAGAAGCCATAGCAGAAAGTCGACAGGCAGAGCAAGGCCTCCAGGGACCTGCTCCTCAAGGTCGCTGCAGAGAGCTTCCTATGGTTCCCACTTCTACCCCCTTGCACACACGCTGCTCCCACTTAAATGCTACGAGGGTCTCCTGGGGTCCAATTTCAGTCCCCGGCAAGGGCCTTCGCAGCTGCCAATCAGATGTGGCGCCGGAGCTTTTTGCTAGGTGAGTGTCACTGTCTAACAATGAAGTTTCATCACCCCCAAACTGCCACCATTGGGCAGTATGTGGGTATGAGAGGAGTTTGCGGGCACTGACCCGCTTGTCCTGAGCGCTTCTTTATCCCCTGGTGGATTTGGGCGCATGTACATCAGCAAAATGAATCAAGGTTCACAAAGGAAATATACTGGAGGTTCGCAATTTAAGCTCGCATTTCTTCACATCACCAGGGGACTGAACTTGTAGCAGGTGATAGACCTTTCGCTAAATTATCCAAGCATCAAAGAGAATGTTGAGAACGTAGGTACACACACTGCACATGCTTGCCTTGGCTCTTGAAAGATTCGAAGTAAATAACCAAAATAAGATGTCCACGGAACGGCCGTGGGAAATGCCATTTGCTTTAGATTTTTGCTTTCAAACAGTTAGAGCTGAAGACGACAGAATACGCAGCGCGTGTACCTACGTTCCCGGCATTCTTTTTGATGCTTGGGTAAGTCAGCAAAACATGTATTCACTTTTCATGTGTTATTCATTATGCTCTGTTCACTGGGAGCTAAGTGCCAGGTGGACCAATCACCGGCTTCCCTCTCCTCACCTGACCCGGCTCTCTTCGCATTGGGTAGGCCGGGGGCGTGATGACGCGGCGAAAGAGAGGTGTATGACTGGTCCAACGAAGACATAGTTTCCACCGCAGTCTCAGCTTAGAGGTGAACGGAGTTTAGTGGATGACACGTAGGAGTCATCCACGGCTCGTTCCACGGCAAGGCACTGTGGCTTGTTCAACAAGAGCCAAATTAAATATCATTCGCGCTCTAATAATTATTTACTATAATATTTCTCATTTTATGTGCCCAAAAACCAAAAGAATAAAAACAACACAACACAGATACAGCATCAAATGTACAAATTAACATGGCAGCCACAATCGGGCACCAGATTCCATCGTGGACAGTCCCTCAACAGATGCATGGCTGAGCCACAAGTAAGCGTAACGCGTATAAATCCTCCTCTTTTCGCACAAACAACCAACAACTAGGATTCGAACAACATAAGTGGATGGCCTAGTTGTTTACACATTACAAAAACATTTAGCATGACAGGCAAAGGACAAGTAGAAGACTGGATGCTTGTCCTGTCCAGTATTCTACTTGTCCTTTGTCCTTCGTGCTGTTTTTGTGGCTGGAATTCACTGTCCACCGACTGCACACACGCTCCATATATTGGTCGTTTCGGACCTTCTGTTAGAAAGCTGATCTGTCCGTCTCCTGCCTAGACGGAGAACTATCCACAGTCTTTCTTAAAAAGAACGGTAACATTGAATGGACGCCAACGGCACCTCCTGGTACTTGAGCAGGAGGGGCTGGCAGAGCTGGTAGACCTGCGCCTCGGGCTGGGAGCAGGAGACGCAGAAGACGCCCACCAGGTCGTAGCCGAAGGAGAGGAGGACCCCCTCGTTGTCCAGGGCGCACCCCACGCACTGGATGGCGCTGCTGGTCACCCGGCCAAACAGGTAGCCCAGCATCGGCTCCTTGGCCGTCTTCTGCTGCTGCAGGAGCCTCTGCGGGGGCAATGCACGCTTTTGGAGATGTGCCAAGGACGACTCCAGCTATTAATGCAGAATCCTTCGATGTTTCGAAGTCAAGAGCAGGAGTGTCCAAACTTTTTGGCCGAAGGGCCGGATCGAGGACCAGTCGCAGTCTCGAAGGCCGTAAAATAAGCAGTTCAGTCTAACAAGGAAAAGCTACATAAATCAACCCACAGGATGTCCCCGAGCGCTGTTTGGGCATAAAATAATCCCAATAAATAAACAAACGACCGGGGTGGATTGAAACTTTTTACAAGGGTGTCTTTAGGTGGTGCATTTACCCTGCTCGAAAGTTATTGCTATACATTTCAGAAAAAAAAACAATTAGGCCTAAAATATTCAGTTTTTTCTCAGGCACAGGGAGAAACGGTAAAAACTTTCTGGTTGATGCTGCTATACTCACGAAAATCATACTACAAACGCTCGGATCTGCTGGGTCTGCCTGCGGGTGTTCATCTCAAGGACGTTTTCACACCTTTGCTTTATGTTGTGCCATCTGTACGCGGCAGCGTCGACTGGATGGTTTTTACCGTTTCTAGGTACAGAAATTAAAGCTGGGTTAAAAATTAAAGAAAAGAATCTAAGGCATATTAATATGCAAGCTTTAGTTTTAGCTTCAATATTTGGCTAATTACATGACATTATACAAAAATTGGGACAGAAAACTCCCCACGTAAAAATCCAAGCAAGTAGAAACTCTGGCATAGCATTCACATAAGGCAGAATGCTAACAAGAAAGGTAAAATTGATGATGCCAATATGAAGTAGTTGACACTGGACATTAAGCAAAATATCTGTTGTGTGAGTACGCGGAATTATAAGTTAAAGGCATAAACCAGTGGGCTACGAATGGTGGTGCTGCTAATAACGATGTGTAATAAATATGATACAGAACTATCAGTGGGAAATTAATCTGAACAGATATGATGCATTAGTTTCTTTACTCAGGATTATTTTTGCACCGGTAGTGGCGGGCCTGCCGGAAGCGGGCTGGCTGCTACTGGAAAGATTGCGAACAGCCACAGGCAAGTCAAAAGGTCTCCGAGGAGTGTACCTGGCTTGCGGGCCAAGGTTTAAAGGGACACTAAACAACTTTCTGCGATAGTTTATTTATGGTCATAACTCAAACTTCACCAAGCCAAATAACATTACATTCATGCATGACTGATTTCTCTTGAAATGGCTGTCAAAAGACCGACACTAGATGACGCCAATAGATGAGGAAATGCAGAGCACTGCCCTTCCTCAAGCAACGGCGTCCTCTGGTGTCTGAGATACTTCCGAGGTAATCAGTCTCTTGATACTAATTTTAATAAAGAAATTGGCCATGCGTATGAACGTAATGTGTGGTCTTTTAGAATGTTTACAGTCGATGGATTGAGTTATGACCATAAATAGACTATAGCAGAAAGTGGTTTAGTGCCCCTTTAAGCTCCCCGGTCTGGAGCGGCGCGAACAGCTGCAACAAAAACATGGTAACAAGGGCTTACGACGATCGTGTGGTTGGGGCCGCTACAGGTTGCGTGGTCACATGATGTGATGTGACCACATAACTTTACGCCCTAATGTCAAGTGACCATGTAACTTCACATCACAGTGTCACGTGACAACGCAACTTGACATCAGTGTCACATAATCATAGAAGCTGAAGTCCCAATGTCGCCCGACTCCCTACCTCAGTGGCGTCACGTGATGATGAGGCTTCCATGTGACCATTTAGCGAGAAAATATCACGTGCTATAACAGCCCCTCAAGTCAGCATTCTGCATAATTCGGACGTCACACGCTGAACCAAGGTGAATATTTTGACGCAGAACGTGTTATAGGGCCGATTTCCACGAGATGAGCATGTTATGAAAGAGCGTCATAAAAAAACTGCCGCATGTTTTTTGTGATTTTTTATCATAAAAACTGTCGCATGGCAGCATTTTTACTAAGCGTAACGACCTTACGTCCCACCAAATTTAAAAATACGCAAGTTTGTCGACTTTGGCAGACACTTAAAATTCACTGTGCATTCTGTGTCTCCAAACTTCACCCGTAGGACTGACATACATTTTTATAGCAAAAGTATTAATTGTTTCATGGAGCGAGCCGACATCATCAGCCGCGCCAAACAGCAGATAAATTTGTGAAGCCGCGATTTGAGGCATCCCAGCTTTGAAGCCGCGCAAAAAGCCATGCACAACGGTAATTAAATGAGGCCAAGGGAGGCCGCCACGCATCAGTTTCAATGAGCGGCCTCCCGTGGCACTGCATGCACGCGCGGCGGCAAAAGGAATTGGCTGGCGCACTCGGGTGGTCGTACCACCTCCCAAGGCGCGGAAACTTCATGAAGACACGCGCAAGAACGACACATTCATGCTTTCGCATTCACAACTCATAAGAAGTGCCTAGGTGTACCTCGAGCCTTTTTTTTCTTCTTTCTTTTAAAAAGGGCAGGTTTTGATTTCCGGAAAGGCTCAATATATTGCTCGACTTCTAAAAAACATTTTGGAAGCATAATTTTTCGTGCAAAACATACGAAAATGATCAAAAATCACCACAACTGAAATTAGTAGAAAGAATTTGAAAGGAAATGCATGCGTGGCCCACCGCTATGATTGGTTCCTTCACGCATATTTCTTTATTGCCAATTACCCGCACCACCTTTGAGGCATTGTTGTAGGAAGGGAGACCTAAGAAACCTGTCAGGTGAAAATGCAGGTGGAAACATATTCTGATCGATCTATTGTATTCCATTCCAGCACTGCTCGAACACAATACGATCCACAATGAGAGTTAATAAGTCACCACTTTAAGTTGGTGGCTAACGCATTTGTATGCAAGAAGCAGTCCACGGGCGTTAGAACTTGGGTCGGGACTGTGAACGATGCCTCTGCTACATGTTTTGGCTTTCCGGTCGTAGCTGAAAGCCTGCCCCTTGTAGCCACCAGGAGAGGAAGTCCACGCAATTTCAACCGTGGCTCGGAACTTCTCGGCTTCTTAAATGGCGGGAGTCTCAAACACGTGCCTCGGGTGGAACGTGCCCCGCTCCAGGGAATTCCTGGGATCACGCGCTCGTGAACGGCTTCGATTGTCACTTCGCACAAGTTCCGACAAACTGTTGGACACGGCCCTTGTGACGGCGACGCAAAGGAACGTAAAAGGGGCAGGAACGTGAGTAGACGGACGGACGCACGACGGTGTTGTTGTTCCAGTCCTTTCTCGCTTCTGGGCGATGACGAAGAAGAAAGCGCCTGGAAGGACTTATGACAGCTCTCTGTATTACGGACCGTCCCTGGAGGACACCTAGAGATGCGTGCTACAATGGTAATAAAAAAACTACCAGTCTGCACCCCTATAGGATGGTGGTGCTCGTGTTAGCGACTGCCTCTAACTGTGCATTGCCGCAGAAAAATGCATCACCTGCCTGAGGGGTTAACGATTCATGCATGCTTTGTACCATGCTGAACCGAAGTCTAAATGCAGTTTACATAGACTTTCTTTTGGACGCATCCTCCGATGAAGGCAGACAGCACCCATCTTTTGTTGGAATCCCCTTTAGGGCCATGGAAACATCAACCATTGCCTAGACGATGGTAGCTCTGCATCATTGACCCAGGGAATTAAGCTCCTCCGAGCTTTCTAATGCGCTTGTCTGTGCGATGTGGATTCCCTCGGCAATACGAGAGAACGTCATCTGCTTCTTGCACAGAAGTTGCAGTACCATCAGAACGACGCCGAGTTCTTACTGGCTTTCACTATAGTCGGTCACAGGTCAAGAACGAAGTGGAAGCTCCTCTGACCCCTTTCCACTTAAGCGGAGTGAACGGTGAAAAGGAGCCTTCTCTCCAGCGTTCATTCTACTAAAGTGGAAAGAGGTGGGAGGAGCTTCCGCTTCGTTCTTGACCTGTCATTGACTATAGAGATCTACCCTAGAGGTCTACCCACTATTTTTTTTTTAACCAGCCAATAAGAGTTTGGCGTTCTGACGTCATCGGAACCTGTGTGCAAGAAGCAGACGAACTTGAGCTCACATCCAAAGGTGGACCTTAGGTTTGTACGAACACGGTCCAAAATGACTTGACGGCGCGTTCTATCTGCAGTGAGGCTCGCCTTTTATGACTCACCAGCAGGGTTGCGGGGAATTTAAATAACACTTCGTGCCATGCACTTATTGCATTGTTCTCTTGTTTTTTGTTTCTTTTTAGAAACATGACATATGGACGGCGCAGCAGCTACCTACACGAAGCACGGCGCGATACAAACAGGTTTGACACGAATGTACCGGCAGAATTCGCCACTATTATCGGACCCAAGGTTAATTCTTCGAGGGGCGATTACCTGACAGAGAGCCTGCGAGAGCACCACGTCGTAGGAGACGGACATCGTGACTGGAACCTCTGGCGATGTCGCTCGTGAGCACAGAGCACGATCAAATCATGCAAATGGAAAAAGGTCGTCACGACTCGGGACACGACTCAACGCAGTCCGGAAGCAACGCAGCACCCGCGATTTTCGGCACTCTCAGCAGTTTGGCATGCTAGGGGACTGCGGAAATCCCACAACCAGCTGAACCCTGTGCTTCCAGCTGCCAAGTGGACCTCGGTCGCCTCGGTGATTTCCGTCGTGATTCCCCAGTCCGTCAACCTCGTCACTCACAGAGTTAACTTTGACGTGAACCTGCTAGGTGGCAGCACGTTAAACATAAGAATTAAAGGGCCCAGATTGTACAGAGCGTCCAACCCAACCGTGGGGAGCAAGATTGATCGCAAGCGCGCATGCGCACCATTGTCGCGTGGCGAGAAGGAAAGCAGACGAAAAGGCGATCATTTTCGTCATTCTCATTCTTGTCCAGCTCGCTTGCACCTCTGCACTTAATTGCATTATGATCAAGGCGTAGACGTTTGCAGACGATCAACGCCACCAACGCTTTTGCTGTTCCCCTTTTTCACCGATTAATATCAAAACCTCGTTGGGTTTGTCTCAGGCCTCTTCTTGTGATTAGAATGCCTTCATGTCTGCGCATGTCTGCGGGACATAAAGGCAGCCCACTTTCGATATTCGCCTCACCGAGTGGCATTCCGCGCATGGGCACACGCATCGCAAACGCTCTCATGATTTGAGTTGCTCCCTCTCGCAAGTCTAGGCTCTCCAAATAAACAACAACAATTACAGCATGGATGGATAGATGGATGGATGGATGAATACGGCTGAGCCCTTTGGATCGGGCGGTAGCTTACGCCACCTAGCCATTTTGTTTTACCATTTAAGCTTAGAATATTTAAATGTGAAATCTATATTCACTCCGCAGTGCAAAGAAAGTGAGGCTATGAAACCCCCTTGCCATCAGTGATTAAGAAAATACCTAGTTTTCTCTCGATTTCTGCCACCATTCACTTAATCTTTGCTTGGTAATCTCTACAGTCTTGAAATCCACTCTCCCTTCGCTGTCTCTAAAACCCAATGAGCACGTTGACGCCGACAGCGCCACGATAGTGTGGGAGCAAGTGCACGTACTAATTGTAATTCTTCCCTCACGAATTCCGTGGTCGGCGTGATGACTAATCCTCGCGGTATGGCTCAATTTTAAATTGGAAATGACGAAGCCCGCCTGCAGGTCCGCCAACAAAGAAAGGTCAGAGCACTCTTTGGGCCGTCCGCCTCGCTTTTTCGCGTGTGCGAATTCGTCGCTTTTCTTTCGTGTCGGGAAGTTGTCCATCGAAGCGTGCGCAAGCATCCACGGGTGCCGCTGACTCGAGATCATGCATTCCCTGCCCCGCCAACAACGCATCTCCCGCCTTGATTCTCGGCGAAAAGTGTGCTGTGAGGGCTCCAGACTCGGTGACGGGGACCGAGCAACGGTTTAGACCGATGCGTGTGACAATTAGGTGTGTTCGCAACGTGCTTGGGCCGTAGTCACCTGCACCCAGTCCTGCCCTTTAAAAAACGAAACGGGTGCGAAACAATAGCGAACATAATTTCCGCGTGGGCAGCACCGGTCGCGACGCTTCTGGAGCTTCCACAATGAAAGTGCCAGTCTTTGTTTTTTGTTGTTCTTTTCGCTTGGGTGACCTTCAGTCCAGTACGCGAGCGACGCAGCACATCTACCCGCAGCGTCGGCGTCTCGACTTCCTTTTTAGCGGCACTGCCGCTCTCGATTTCGCGTGATTCTTTTCTTCAACTCATTGTGACCAAAGTTGCTTGTGTCAACATTAGCGGCGAGAGAACAAAGAAAATAAAAATGCTTTTGCCACGGTACCGGCGCAGAGCGGTCGACTCGGCGAAGCGATCGAACCCAACTCGGCGTCGATTCGACATCGTCGCGTTCTGTCAGGCCGAGCCGACTTTTGAAAGTGGCGAGCGAGTTGTCGGGAGCTCGTGTACCGACCGAAAGCGCGGATCCATGCCGTTTTCAGCCGTGTGCTCAAAGTGCAAGAAAAAGAACTTGAGCAGCGAACGCGCTGAGCCCTCGCTAGCTTGCTGTTCCCGATAACCGCTCGGGGATACATATGCTGACCGAATCCGAGCTTCTTATCGAGTCATCGTCCTTGTAAAACGCGCGCCTTTTCGGTTGAGCTTTAACACCCCAAAGCCCTTCACTCTTTCTTAACTAGCAAAGCTGGAGGCAACCATGGGTGAAATCGCGCAGAAATAGAGAGGAACAGAGGAGAGAGAAGAGACAATGTTCCTTTCTATTTGTGCGCAATTTTAGCCATGTTCAATCATTACTAACTCGCCCAGTTAACCTCCTTACAATTGGAGGAAACCACCCGAGCAGGGAAAAAAAAAATTGGGGGTGTGTGTAGTCTGCCTCAACGGGCGACTTGTTTCTCAGCTGTAGATAAGAAATTTAGCCAGTGCAGTCGAACCGTTAGCCTGGGGTCCTTAACATGCATCACGCAGTAGTGGTACACGACCACACGCTTGTACGATGCTCATCCAGATCGAAACGCCCGGCAGGGAAGGGCTTAAGTAACCCGCTGTTCTTAACTATCCGGTGAGCTTATCTCCGGCGGAGAAAAGCTCGCTGCAGAACTGTCCCATGCGGAGAAAAGCTCACCTACGGATAAGAATGGAGCGTTAACTCAAGTGTAATACGTTCACTCGGCTGAAGTATGCTGGAATGCTTCATGCGCATGCGGTCATTCCTCAATTCACTAGCAGAATTTAACACGGGAGGCACTGCCCGATGAAAATAGAATAAATTTCGAATGCTAAATAAAAAATGATGGGGGGATTTTGTTTATGAAATTACCTTTTATGTAGTATACAAGCACTGCATTATCAAATCTGCACATTTCACCATTTGTTTAAGGCTGCGGTCCCACGGCGGCCATGACATATGACGCTTTCCGCACGTTTTCGAAATGCGATCGTGGCGTGTTCAAGCTTGCTAAAATTATGTGTTATATATCTTCTTGTAGTGTACAACATTATCTTTTATCTGATGTAGGATTTGTTTTCCTAGTGCAAAAAGCTAATTCAGAGGGCACCCGCGAACATTGACCTTTTCGGCAAAACATGGTTTCGTAGTACAGTGGTACAGGGTGCACTATTGGAGCAATTTCTTTCAAATTTTCGAATGTTATAGAAGAAGAGTGCGTTCATTGTCAACGGAGGCCCTTTTTTCGTTTTTTATTTTATTTTGACAGATATTTACTTTAGAAAAATTGACTTCGCGGAAGCACTTCAGTCGCGAAGTTTTGGGCGCCTACTTGGTCATTTTATTTGAAACTTTTTACATCAGTTTGTAATTATGGTCGAAAGAGTTACGCTAAATTCCATTGTATAAGGGCTTAAACTTTTTTCGGAATGCTCACGTGAAAAGTGACAAAAACAGTTAATTTTGGCAAACTTCATTTGGTAGTACGGTGGTACAGCGCTTAGGGATTGACACGCATGAATAAAATTGTAGGCCCGCAAAGAAAAACATATTCTGCTTTGCAAAGCGAGGCCCTTTTTCTAAATTTCACTTATGATTTTCCATAAAAAAAGTTTGAATATAGGTGAAATCACGTATTTGTTGATAGTCAAAAACGAGTATTTTGACCCCTTTTGGCAGACATTTAGGCAGATATTTTTAGTACAAAATAGAGTTTACTGTCCCAGGTCCTCACTATTAGCCCACATTGTCACTAATCGAGCCTATTTATTAAAAAAATCATAAAACACACAGAAAATACAAATTGGATGTCTGGTTGCGCCCTCTGTGTGGCGGTGGCTGAAATGTGACTACGCGAGGTTCAGGAAACTGCCGAGGATGGCGCTGATTCCAGCTGTGGTTGCCAGCTTCGGAAACTGGTTGTACACTTGGCTTCTTCCGTTTCTTGCAAAATAACGTGCTGGAAAACTTGGTCGAAACTCGTGAGGTCCTTTACAACACGGTACTTTCTGCTAATATAGCTTTTAGGAAGAATTTCAGTCGTTTTCATATTGTTAAACGATTTTTTTTATGCGAGGCTCCACCGGTTCAGTTTGCTGAATAAATCGTTCACGCAATCGATATCGAAGTTTCAAATTACCGAAATGCCAGAATCGCCAGTTCCGCGTAGATATGCAGCGTGACGCACGTGCTTCTGGTGCATGTACACGTACGTGTTTGCTGCGTGGTTCTTCGGTTGCTGCGAGTTTTCGCGTATTTATTGTGCGCTGCTTACCTCCGTCTGCGCACGCCTCTCATCCTTGTAACTACCCCTGCTATGTTTGCCTAGCGTGAAGTTTGTGTCTGTCTTTTCGTTCGCTGACTAAGCTCGTGTCGGTGTCCTTCCTACTGGCTGCTGTTCGTGTTTGCGTACCGTGTGTGTCACTTTGATTACTAGGTCCCCTGCTTATGGGGCGGAGCAAGCGGTGGGCGTCGCGCCAGGGGTGGGTCGTGATTGGGGAAACAGCTTAGCGCTTAGCAGCCGACGCCGACTTCGGCGCGTTTCTTCTGCGCACGCGCGTACTGTCATTGATATCGCTACTTCGCGCCGTGACGATGCGCTGATCTACAGGCCGGTCGGCGCTCGCGTGATATTGTTGAAAATTCTCGAGCGTGTATTTACGTTTCGAAAGCCATAATAGAATTAAAGTGGGCATTTGGCCGGCAGCCGGCATACCGTGGCTCTGAAAACAGATTGCTAGGAGTGCCCTCTCATTCGCTGGTTACCACGCTGGGTGCGCGCAGTCCGTGCTTCTGGCCGCCCCGGCCGCCCAAATGCGTTTTTCTGATGATTGTTTTGTTTTCAGTAAACAGACAATAGATTCCTGCTGATATTCTCCTTTATAATCTTCACTCTTGACAACTCTTTAGTGTTCGAAGGAACTCCGTCAAATTTGACGATAATGCATGTGTAAGTACAACTGGAACCTCATAGTTGCAAGAATACTTTTCCTGGATTGTCTGCATTAGAGTGCCTCCATGTGCGCTTCGCGCACATGAAGGCTCCCTAGTCTGCACCTTTCTGATAATATGATCGGTCTCCATAAATTGCACTTCCCCGCTTCGGGAGCACGGCCAGCGGTGGTTCTCTGTCGGTCATCGAACCTCACACACGTGAAGCGTTGTCAAAGCTGTGATATACCGGGCGTTTTATTATTATGTTTTTTTGTTGTTGTTGTTTTTGTTTTGTTTTTTTGCTGAAAGAAATTATACTTTTGGTATTCCCGGGGATAACATTATCGGCTGCGGCGGACGTAAAGGAACGAGCGTAAATTGACAGTTAGTGGCCTAATAAACTAAAATTTGCCATTTGCGAACGCTGGAGAGGGGGCGACCTCCTCTCCCCCGTTCGCTCCGCTGAAGTGGAACAGGGTGGGAGGAGCTCCCACTTCGTTCTTGACCTGTCACCGACTACAGTTGCGAATTCCACTTGTAATTTTGGAGCGACGACGAGATAGAGCTGAGTCATGTATTGCGTTCTCTGAGATGAAGAACGCAATGCGCGCGGAGTTGCTCCACGTATGCACCAGTCACCAGTAAAAACGACCTGTCCTCCGAGGAGGTCGAGCGAGACGCCGGCGGACATGGGGGTCGGTCACCTCACCGTCACCACCGTCTACCGTGCCTTCAAAAACACGGGGCGCAATGTGTTTCTGCAGTATAACAAAAAATTGAACAAACAAGGTGCAAACTTTCATTTTTTTCCTAAGTCTGGTTTGCAGGGCTGAACAGAATACAAAAACGATACGCCGTGCTGGGATGACGTCGACTACAATGGTACACGATCATAACAAGAGCACAAATTTTGCCACGTTATTTTGCTACAGTGATAAGAGCATATATATATTTGTCCGCGATGCAGCAACAGAGACATTATTTCCAAATTAGAGTTCGAAGTTAGCCTTCGATGCTAGCACTGACCAACTCACTTCACTCACAGGGTGAAAACGTGAAACTTCGTATCATTCGGACAGAGATCGAAAAATAACACGCACCGCTTCAACTTGGACACCCCAAAATAATTAACTTTAGTGGATCGCACGCAAAAGCTTCGCGTACGCAATAAAATTGCCCGTCAGGAGTACGGTTCCGCAACCAAAATCAGCATATGAGTCATCAAATTATGAAGAAAAAGCAGGTGCGAGCGTGCCAAAAATATTCGACATTTATTGTTGTCAATATTTGTTTTTCTATCCACGTGCTTATGTCGCCGT